GGGGGGGGGGGGCCTTTCTCAACCCGCGGAATATTGGCGGATGCTCAAAACCCAAAGGGGCACCCAAGTGGGGTTGAGAAAACCCTTCTTTGTGGGGGGTTTCACCCCTCTCTTTGACGCCTCTCGCCAAGACGCTCTAAAAAGGGGCCCCCAAACCGCAGCAAAATATGTATACTTTTTTACGGCCAATACGTCTTGTTAGTTTTTAAGACCCCCCCACCCCCCCCCCCCCCCGGGGCAGCTGGGGCAACGGCGAGCTCGCCAAGTGCGTCGGCATGCTTCAGGACGGCTACGACAAGATGGAGGAGTACATCGCACAGAACGCGCCCCACTTCTTCTCCAACGAAGCACCTCGACCACCTCGCCACACGCGCTGCTACGCGCTGCTAGACGGCTCTTCACACCCGCACCACCTGTGAACAGGACCTCAAGATCTCGCCCGACGCACTGCGCGCCCTCTCGCTCCGCTGCCGCCGCACCGCGCGCGTCTTCTGGTTCGACTGGCGGGTGAGAGAGTCGCCGAGAGTCGCCGAGAGTCGCCGGGAGGGTCCGCGCCCACGGTCATCGGCCCCGCCCCAAGCAAGCGCGGCCCCAAGCGCGGCCCCTCTGCGGCTCAGCTCTCCAAGCTTCTGCCGCAGGTGACCCTTGAGTCCGACTTGGGCGGAAAGCTGCTCAAGGCGTGCTAGAGCTGCTCGAGTCTTGACCTCTGTCCTGGACAGGACATGTCCTGGACAGGTCCACCACCCGCCCGTACGCCTCTCCCGTGCAGGCGCAGCAGGGGCTCGAGTCGGACGCGGCGCATCTCCGCCAGAACGCGGCGCGCCTCTCGGAGCTGCGCGGGCAGGTGGAGGCTGCATCTCGGCTGCATCTCGGGCTGCAGCATCTCGGCTGCACCTCGTAGTTGTTGTGGGCAGGTCGAGGCGGCGCGCCCGTCGCCGGCCGCCGCCGCCGCCTCGCTCGCCGCGGCGGAGGAGGAGGCTGCGGCGCTCGAGGCGGCGGCGGCGCAGCGGGAGGCGGCGGTCGAGAGGATCGAGCGGGAGCAGGCGCAGCTGGCCGCCGCCGTCGACGCGGCGGAGGCGAGGCTGTCTGCGGGCCGGCAGGCGCGCGGCGGTCGCATGGCGGTCCCCGGCGGTCGCATGGCCGGGTGACGGCGGCGCGTGACGGGGTTGCCGTGCCGCGCTAGGCGCACGACGAGCAGCAGCGCACCATCAACGAGCGGAGGGCGGCGCTGCAGACGCAGGCGGCGCCCCGGAGCGAGGCGCGCCCCGCGGCTCAGGCGCGCTCCCCCTCCCTCGGGCCGCGCGCGGAGGAGGCCGCGCTCCTGAGGCCCGCTCCTCGCCGCGCCCCCCTGACGCTCGTGCCGCGGCACGTCCCCCGTCGCGCAGGCGGAGGAGCTGCTCGACGGGCTGCAGGCGGCCGTCTGCTGGAGGCCGGCGGAGCTCTCGTCCTCGCGCCTCTCGCTGCGCTTCGGGGAGCACTTTGAGCTCGCGGCGGCCATCCGGCCGGGCGCGGCGCCAGCCGACGCGGTCGCCTCCGTCGACCTCCGTTCGTTGCTGCCGCTGCAGCCGGCGGCGCTCGATGTGCCGCAGCCGCATCTGGTGCTGCTCGCGGCCCTCTTCCCGGCGGTGCAGGCGCGCCTCTCTCCCGCGCTCGCCGCGTGCGGCTCGGCGGCGGCGTTGCGCGCGCTGCTCGCCGACGCGACGGTGCAGCTCGGCCGGCTGCTCGAGCTGGCAGATGAGGTGCGGCAGGGAGGGCCCCCCCTAGCCCCTCGCCCCTCGCCCCTCGCCTCTCTCCCGCCTCACTCCCCTTGCCCCGCTCCCCTCGCCCCTCCCCTCCCCTCCTCTCGCCTCGCGAGTCTCTGCCGCCGCCCTCCACCCTCCGGCCCTCCACCCTCCGGCCCTCCACCCTCCGGCCCTCCACCCTCCGGCCCTCCACCCTCCGGCCCTTCTCTTCCGAAAGGTGCGGCAGCTCGCCGAGCGCGTGGTACTCGCGGTTGCGCCGATGCCGCAAGGCGGCGCCGCCCTCACGCTCCGCCTCTCGTACATGCACGCGCGCGCGCGTTTCAGCCTCGTGCTGCAGCTCGACTCGGAGGCACCCGAGGCGCCGCTGCGCTGGCGGATTGACGGCTGGCAGCAGGCGGCCGCGCACGCCGCGACGGCAACGCCGCTGCAGGAGGCGGCTGCAGTCGTGTGCGAGCAGTACCGCTGCGGCTTCGGCCGGCTGCTTGGCATGCTCGACGCGCTCGACGCCGTCTTCGCGCCAAAGGCGCTCGGGGCGCCGCCGCGGTAGAGGTGGCGAGCGCCGCGTGGGCGCGTCGGTCGGCGCGTCGAGGTTGTCGCCCGGGGCGCTGCTTGTGTGGCGAAGGCGCCGCGTCGCACGGGGGTCGTGTGCGCGCGCCCCTGTGGGGCCTTCTTTGAGGGCGCGACCCTCCCGGAGTCGTCGCTGAGGCGAGGGGGGGGGCGGCGACGGGGAGCACGTGTGCAGCGGGGGGGGGGGGGGGGGGGGCCCTCCATTCCAAAACCTGGGGGGGGCTTTTCGGGGGGCAAGGGAATACCTTTGGGGGCACCCCCCCCCCCCCCCTTTTCCCCCCACCCGTAAAAATGTTGGGGCGTCTGCGCCACATTCGCGATATGGGCGCGCCGTGCGCTGTTTGGGGGGCGGGGGCGGGGGCCGGGGTATCTCTCGCGGGTTGGCGGTTGGGTGGGTTCTAGGCACCAACTCTTACGAGTTACGTAGTGATACGGGGTGTGGACCGTGAGTTGACCAGGGGTTGTGCGCTGGGCCCTCCTGCTCGGCTCCAGCGTGTAGACAAGTCTTGTCACTAACAGAGTAGAAGGATCTGACCTCGGGGCCGATGTGACCAAGCGCTGGTAGCGTGGTTTAACCTCACACCCATGGTCTCACAGTGTGCCGGCAGTCGCCGAGCAGTGTCGCGCTCACACAAGCCGCAGCACAAGTGACTGAGGGCCAGTGAGGGCGAGCCCATCGCTGTCACAGCTGTGGCAGCCGCACAATAGGCTGTGTCAACTGTGCAGAGTGTGTGAGCAGCCGAGGAGCTGCTCTCCAGGCTTCTGACGCAAAGAGGTGCATGCCACCGAAAGCGCTGTCGAGGTTCGCCGAGCGCGGCGCAGGTTGGAGGACACCGTCACCGACGAGCGCGTTGGAGTATTCACTCCGGACAAAGCCGGCCACACGCACACGAGCTGCGGCCGTGTGGCCGTCATAGTGGCGAGGCGCGGGACCGTCTGTGGCGAAGTGGGTCGCGTCCTCCGATTTCCTCAACTCATCACGGTCCGCTCCCTCTATACGACAACTTATCGATCAACACTTTCGATAGACCGAAAGTAAGATCGTTCGGTGCAGAAACCCCGGCCACATGCCCATGTAACGCAATTGTGCTCGATTTTTTTGATTTTTTGGTCGAGAAGTGTCTCCAAGTCTTCTGGACCCATCGATGGCCGTCGCCTCGACGCCGCTCGTCGCGGCACCATCGTGCCCGGCCTGGGCGAAGCATCGTCGCGGGCGCCAGCCGCAGTTCGACGGCAAGCCGTGCGAGCCTGCCGAGGAGGAGGACATGTGGCTGTGCCTGGCCGACGGCCGCGCGCGCAGCACCGCCGACCTGAAGCGCCTGGCGACAGCCGCTCGGGTGCGAGCGAAACGAGCAGGAGATGCAGCCGCCGCGAACACGCGCGATCGGCAGGCGCGCGACCAGCGCCGCCGGCAGCGTGAGCAGCACGACCGGCGCGCAGCGCCGGCGGTCGCCAAGACCGTGCGCCCACAACGCGGCCAGTGCGGCTGCCCGGCGCACGCGGTGTGCGGCATGTGCGTCGACCAGGGCAAGCTCGCCGCGGCCGAGCAGGCGGCCATCGACCTGGGAGGCGGGCTACGCCGACGGGGAGGGCGTCTGGGATGCCGCGCGCGCGGCGTACTTTGCGGGCGAGCTTGCCAAGCGAAGCGCAAAGGACGGACGCAAACGGCGCCGTGGCGCCGGCGCCGCGAGCGCAAGAAAGAAGCAGGCCGCACCCACAGCCCGGTCGCCCGCCGACGCGAGTGACGGAGAGGGTGACGAGCAGATGCGCGACGCATCAGACGCGCAGGATGACGGTGCAAGCATGTCCGAGGGTGAGTAAAAGTGTGAGGTTTGGTGGAGGCTGTAGCGTCGTCGCGCGTAAGAAGAGTGGTGAAATTTAGAAAAGGAGTTGCGGTGTTGATCGCCGCGGGAGCCCTCTTATTCCATGGCTTATTCACCCTTCTCCCTTTTGCCTTTTTGTGTGCTTCGTCCAACGCTGCCAGACTACTGTGCCACCCCCGCCACCTGAGACCTTCGCGCCCGCCCACATAGTGCCCACACTCGTACGACTACGTGAGTGCCCCCCACACTGAGCTGCTCCTTGGTCGTTTCGAGCATCGAGGTCACGAGCCCCAACCGAACTAAGAAGGACTATGCTTTGGTAATGTTTCTGCTAATTACATAGATGTCAAGCTAATGTTTCTACGGCTTTAGTTAGAGTTTAGTTTCTAGACATACTGTAGCTTGCTACGGCCTACGCACCGCGTCTCCGCGTGCGCGAAATGTGAAAAACACATTCTCAATGGCACTTGCAAATCCACGTACCCGCGGCCGCGGGCGCTCGCTGCCATCAAGAATCACAAGGACTGGTACGCGCACCAGGAGCTCGTCAAGGCGCGGGATGTGCACGTCAAGAACAACCCGTCCCTCGGAGACAGCGCCGTCAACAACCGCGAAGCCGCGCGCTTCGTCTCCGCCTCAACGCCTTTCGCCGGCAAGGCCTTCGATGTCCGTGTCGACGGTACGTACGCCACCGCCCTCTCCTCCGACACCCTCCAAGACGAGCTCCAGCGAAAGCTCGGCCTTTGGCTCTCCGCGGCGCTTCCCACCCTTCGGGTCGCGCTCGAGCGGGGCATGCCAGTCGATTTCTTCGGCGACTACCTTTACAACAAGGCCCACCACCGGCGGCCCCACGACGGCGTCCTCGCCGCCTGGGCGGACGCGATGCGCGCCCCGGCCAACGCGCCGGTCGTGCACGCGGTGACAAGGAGAAACCAGAGCTCACCCGGCAGTACAACGAGGGGTACAAGGTCGACCTCGCGGAACCCCATGCGGGACCGGGAGGATGCGATGACGTGAATGAAATCAAGCTCTGGACGCCCCTCCTCAAGACCTCCTCGCCGGGCGTTGGCAACGCCTCGAGTGGCGGCACGCCCGCCTCCGTTGGCCACTCCTACGCCTTCGGCAACACCGAAGAAAAGGCCCGCCGCCTAAACATGGGCTGCAAGGCGCGCGGGCAGCCCGGCCAACCCTTCGACCACAAGACCGGCCACGGCTACGTCAAGGCGCATCGCGGTTTCTACCACGACGCGATCTTTGTCAAGCGCAACAACTTCAACCTGCTGCTCCACGAGACGTTCGGCGGCGGCTTCTCGCCCACCGCCGTTCTCAAGCTGCGCCGCCTCGCGCGCAAAGTCGCGCGCGGCAGCGTTGACCGCACGGCCTACTCGCCCAAGTACTCGCTCTCTTTTATGTCCCACCATGCAGAGCGCATCTCTCTCTCTGTTGTGCGAGGCGTGAACCGCGCCATTCGCTCTCACCTGGCAACCCTGTCTGCACGTCTCGCGCGCGCGTGAACAGGGCTCCAGGGACCAGGCCCCAAATTACGTGTGAGTGTTAGAGTTGTTTGGTATTGCTAAAAATCTCTCTCTCTCGAAATGTGTATATACTACGTAGTGCTTTTTGACGCCATGATCCGGCAACGTGCTTACTTCTTCCGCTTGGCCAGATGTACATGTTGGCAGCATGTACAACCAGTCGCTGCTAAACTTGCTTGACCGGGTGGTAGATGTGGGGGCTGCGCGGTGCAGATGCCAAAAAAAATCTCTCTCTCAGATGTGCCGGCGCAGTAGCGTTCGACTGCTGGCTCCAACGCATCCCCTTCATGTCCACAACGCAGTCCCATGCCATCCAGCGTCCGCGTAGTGCCAGGATCAGAGGAGGGAACGACCCAAGGTACCATATCGGCTTGTTGTAGTTGCTCTCGCAAGCCAGCCCTAAACGCTCTTTTTTATTTTTAGCCGCCGAAGGGCGGCCGAGCCGCCGGGCAGGCCTCGGTTCGGCTGCGGTCGCCTCTTTCGTACCGCGCCAAGCCAGATCCCGCGCGCAGTCACCTACTGCCTCCCAGCATGTCGATCGGCCATTTCGATGCCAGCCACTCGGCTGAGGCGCTCTCGATCCTCGAGGACGAGGGGCAGTCGCTGCTCGGCAGGGCGCACAAGGCGCCTATGGCTCTCCCTCTCTCTCCCTCGCGCTCCCATCACCGTCGCTCTCGCTCGCTCGTCCTCAACCGCTCCCGCGCTCCGACCCGCCACCCGCCCGTGACACCGATCGGCCGGTCCAAAGGCGCGGCGCGAACTCGTCGAGTTTGCCTTTGCGCCGCTACTGCCGGACAAGGTCGCACGCAAGCTGGTCGAGCGCTTTCCAGAGGGTGCGCTCCGGGAGGGCGTCGTAGGCTTCGATTCCTTCGCGCGGAGCGGCGAGGCAGTGCTCGGCGCCTTTGGCGACTGGTACTCGCTGCTGGTCCACGCGGCCGAGTGGCGGGAGCTGTCTCTGCAGCTGCTCGCGTCGCTCTCTCGCGAGCTTGGCGCGCTCAACTTCGAGCTCTCGCCGCTGGCCGTCGGAGGGTACCTCGAGCTCGCGTGCCAGCACGCGCGGCTCTTCCTGCTGCTCGGCTCGGTGCTGGCGGGCCCAGACTCCAAGGGCCGCCTCGCCGCCGCCGCCTACTGCCGCATGCACCAGCTGGTCCGGCTGTCGGAGCGTGGCTGGAGATGCGACATCCACGCACATCCACACGCACATCCACACACACATCCACACACACACACACACACACACACACACACACACACACACACACACACACACACACACACACACACACACACACACACACACACACACACACACACACACACACACACACACACACACACACACACACACACACACACACACACACACATCCACACACACACACGACACACACCGCCCGTACCTCGGGTGTCCTCCGTTGCTTGACGCACGAGTGGACTGCACTCGATCTGCCCTCACGAGAGGCGCCGAGCACGGGCGGCACGAGACCCGAGCTCCTGCCCTTGCCCCCCTGACGCAGGAGCCGCCCTAGTTGGACCCAACCCTGACCCTGACCCGAACCCTAGGAGCCGCCAGGCTGGCTGGACGTGTCGCGCTTCATCGTCGAGTTCGAGCGGCCACTCTCGCGGCTGCAGGCCGACCCAGCCCCAAGCCCTAGCTAGCCCTCGCCCTCACCACTCTCGCGGCGGCAGGCCGACTTCACGAGCCGCGTACGGCTGCGCGTCGCGGACGCCCTCGTGCCGCTCTCTCCGCAGCTCGCCGCCGCCTCAGACCCGGCCAAGCCCCGCCGCCCTCGGGTGTGGTGCTCTCGCCGGAGCCTTCGGTCAACCTTCTCGGAAGCTTCCTCCAGGCCTACCTCCGCTCGGAGGCGGTGCTCTCGCCGCTCTGCCCGCCGCCCAAGCTCCCGGGCTCTGCCGCCGCTGCGGCGGCGGCGGCGGTGCCGGGCGGCTCGGGCTCGCTCCGCTCCGGCCGCCCTTCGGAGGAGAGGAGCTCGGAGGAGCGAGACGTGGCACACGAGCCGCCGCCGCTGCTGGCGCGGCTGGGTCGAGCCGGTCTGAGGGCGGGAGACCGGTGTCTGAGCCCTGCCTTGAGCCTTGCTGCAGGCGCACCTCGGCCGGGTGAGGCTGTGGGCCGTGTACGGCTTCCTCCTCTGCCCCGAGGAGCTGTCGCAGCCAGGCCGAGCCGCCCGTCTCCGCGGGAAGGAGTGGCGAGCGAGGAGTCAGTCGTGGGGCGTCGCTCGTCAGGCGCCGTCGAGCTGCTCGTCGCTGTCCTCCGCGGCATGTCTGTCTCTAACCCTAACCCAACCCTAACCCTAACCCTAACCCTAATGTCACTTACCACCTTCCCTCGAGCTCTCCCCACAGCCTTCGGAACCTTCTCCAGGTACGTCCTGCCCGTGTACGCCGACTACTCCATCCTGCCGCACACCGAGTTCGAGGCGGAGGCCAAGGTGGCCGCTCGCGGGATCACGTCGTCTGATCGCTGAGTGCATCGTGACACGCCCCTCCCTGACTGTCGAGGTGGTCGCCCGCTGGATCGCAAAGAAGGAGGACGCCAAGCGCTTCCCCGGCCTCATCCGCGAGTCGCGGCTGGCCGCCTTCCGCCACGCGCCCGCCGCCCGCGCCAGCGCGCGCGCGTCGCTCTGCACCAAGCTCTCGCTCCTCCTCTCGCACGCGCTCGACTCGCCGACCTCGCTGGCCGCCTGCCGCCGAGATCAGCCGAGATCGAGATCACGCGAGATCACGCGAGATCACGCGGGGCTGTAGGCGAGCCGGCTGCCGACGCTGGTGGCCACTCTCCAGCTCACCCGCGCCGAGGTGGAGAGGCGGGCTCCCCCTCTCCGGCACAGCCGCCTCCTCTGCACCGGCTCTGGACCTGCCTGCAGGTGGAGTGGTGGGTCTCCCACGCGGGCGCCGCGCCCAAGGAGGTGCTGCTGCGCAAGAGGCCGGCTCGGCACTCGCACGGAGCCATGTCCGGAGCCGTCCCGTGGACGGCTGCAGGTGCCTCTGCGCGAGAGGGAGGCGCTGGACCGGTCGCTCTTCGACCCGGCCACCGTGCAGGCGCCGCGCCGCGGCTCCTCCCCAGAACTTTCTCGGAACCTTCTCCGGGCCGTCTCCGACCTTTCTCGGAGCCTTCTCCGGACCCCCCTGCAGGCGCTGCTTCGGTACGCGTGCTTGCTTCGCCGGCTGGTGCTGCGCGAGGCGCCCGTCGTCGCCTCTTCGGCCGGTACACGCCTCTCCGTCGCCCGGCTGCACGTGCTCGAGGAGCTGCTTTCCCAGCTGCCGCGGGAAAAGGCTAGAGGAGCAGAGAGGAGCCGTGAGGAGCCGTGAGGAGCACAGAGGCAGCCGACTCGGCTACAGTATACAGTAGCCGAGAGTAGCTGCCGAGGAAGGACGCCACTTCCACCCGCGCAGAGCTGGCCGGTCGTTTCACGGCATGCTACCTCTGCACAGGCGGCGCTCCCTCCCCGCGCAGAGCTGCTCCTCTCCGAGCTACCCGTCCATCTGGCCGCCGCCGCCGCGCCCGACGCGCAGCTGCAGGGCCTCCGCCTCAACGTGCTCCGGCTGGTGTATGAGCTCAGCGCCGCGCCGTGCGCCGCGCCGCTGCGCCGCGGCGACACGCGTCCATGACACCTCGATGACACGTCCGCGACATGTTCTTCAGGTGCGCCGCGCTGCTCCGCCGCGCAGAGGCGTTGCGACAGCTTTTGCCGGAGCTGCACCGGCTCTCCCTCCTCTCGTCCGCGATCGACCAGCCGCAGCGGCTGGTCGACGAGGCGTGCGACCTCTCCCCTCTCTTCGCCTCCGAGGCAAAGTTCATGCAGGCCGTCTACGCGGGCGCTCTCTCCGCCCGCCCCTCCGACTGCGTCGCCTTGCTCGAGCTCGCGTGCGCGGGAGGCGTCCGCTGTCTCTGTCGATGAGTGCCTCAAGCCTTCCCGAAACCTTCCCCGAACCTTCCCTGACCTCCCCACAGGCGTCCGCCGCCCTCTAGTGGACGAGTGCCTCGGCCGACTCAGCGGCCGCTTCTCGGAGCTGCTCAGCCAGACCCTCGCCGCGCTCTCGTCGCGCCGCAGCGGAAGCTTGGGGAGCGTCGCGCCGCCCGGTGCCGAGGCCAGCATGCAAGCCGCGCTCCCGAAGCTGTGCGCTCTCGCCGCGGCGCTGGACCAGTCGCCGCCGCTCGAGCTGGCCGCCGACGGCGCCGCAACCGCCGCCGCGCGGCTGCTGCCGCGGGAGTGGATGGGCGAGCGGCTCGAGGAGCACTTGCAGCAGGCGGTTCGTGGCATGCTGCTGCTGCCTGAGGGCAAGATCAGCTCGCCGGTCGTTGTGGCGGGGCAGATCGCGGACCTCTCCGCAGCGCTCGCGCTGGCTTCCCACCATGCCGGCATCGATTTGCGCGCGGCGCTCGATATTACCATGGGCCGGGAGTTCGGCGCGCTCTCAGAGGGCGGCGCTCTCCGCGACGGCGGCGAGGGCGACGGCGGCGGCGGCGGGGCGGGGCGGGTTCGGGCTTCGGGGCTGCCGGCGCAGGGCGGGGCGCCGGCCGGCGGCGTCAAGCCGTACTTGCTGGATGCGCTCAAGCTGTGGCTCCGCACGTCTGTCGACGAACTCACCGGGGGGGCACTCACGCCGCGCGCCAACGGCGGCGGCGCAACGTACCTGCACTCGCGCCGCGCCTTCTCGCCGGGGCTGCTCTGTCGCACTCAGATGGCCGCCCTCGCCAAGGCCGCGCCCGCCACGCCAGCATGCGGGCCGGCCGCTACTCAGAGCCTTCTCGGAGCCTTCTTGGGATGTCCTCCTGTAGGTCGCCGGCCGCACCGGCGTGCTGGCTCTCAGCGACGACCTCGCCACGCTCGGCACGTCGCACGCGGTGAACCAGTGGAGCCTTCTCGGACCCTTCTCGGACCCTTCTCCAACCCGTCCTATGCAGGCGCGTCGCACGCGGCGAACTTGCGGTCGGCGCTGCAGTTCAACCGCGAGCGGCTGCAGCGCGCCTCGGAGGAGTTCGACACGTCGCGCGCCCTCTCTCCCGCCGACGGGATGGTCGAGATGGAGAGTGTCGCCCGCAGTTTGCACCGGCTCGGCGTCATCCTCGCCGCGCGGACGATCGTGCTCGCGGGGGCGCGCGACGCGCGGGCCGAGGTGATGCCGCTTAGCCCTTCAAGCGCCGTGGGTTTGCTGTCTTAGACATGTGTCTTGCTTTCCTCCCCTCAGGTGATGCCGCACGCGGTGAGCGATTTCGTGAGCGTGCTCGGCGCGCAGCAGCTGCCCGACTACGCCCGCGCCTCCTCGCTGCCTCCGGTGGCGCGCCTGCTGACCGAGCACGGCGCCGTCGGCGACAGCATTGACCTCGACGCGGACCTGCTCGCGGAGCTCGGCGCAAAGTGCGACCTCAAGACGGACCCTGCCCTGTGGCGGCTGCTGCCGCAGCTGCTCGCCGCCTCGCTCCAGCTGCCGCCGTGGTCCTCCCTCACCGCCGACCTCGCCTCCGACGCGCTCCCAAACAACCTCCACACCGTCGCCTTTGCCCTCCACGCCCTGCTCTCCATGGTCGACCCGCTCATGCGCGCGCCCGCCTCGCCCTCCGCTGTCGCCGCCGCAGCGCCGCCCCCCGGCGGCGGCGGCGCCCTCGTCGCCCACCGCCGCTTCGTCGAGCTCGCATCCCTGATCGTGCAGCACGCGCGCGCCGCGGCGCACACCGACGAGGCGGCGGCGGAGCCCCTGGTGGCGGGGCGGCTTCTGCTGCTCGAGCACCTCGCCCGCCTCGCCTCGCCGCTCTCGCCGGTCGTGCTTGTCCGCGTCCTCCACCCCCACCTCGCACGCTAGGCGTGGCTCACCGCCTCCTCGACATTGTGGATAGGCGGCGCTACTGCACGACGTGCTCCCGCACGGCCTCACCGCCACGCACAACGCGCAGGCGTGGCAGGCGGCGAGCGGTGCGGAGAAGAAGAACAGCTTCCCGAGGACGGGCACGGGAGGCAAGCGAGCGTAGCACACTAGCACTCCATGTTTCGCCGGCGGCCGGGCGTTGGGGCGGGGCCGCGCGGCTGGGGAGCGCGGCCAGGAGCAGGGGAGAATAGCGCGGAGTATTTATTTTTGTGGTAAACCGACGCGCGTGACGCTGAGACGATCTCTACAGAAAAAACCGACGCGTGTGAGCTGCTAAGGGGGCGCGCACCTGAGCACTTTTGGGAGCAGTGTTGTGACGTTGACGAGATCTCTAGAGAGAGAGCCGGCGTCGGCTTTTTGCAGCATGCTTTTGGTTTTGCGTTTTGCAGAGCCAGCGAAAGGAACGCGTCCCTCAGTCGCTCGAAGAGCTGTGCCTGTCCCTCCCACCAAGAGTGAAAGAGCCAGTCCTGCCGGAGTCTGGGAGGCTGCCCGCCGGCACCGCGCCCGCAGCCTCCGACTCCGGCGGTGCGGGCTTTACGGGGCGCAAAATCGGGATGAGTGTGTGAGTCCCGAACTGGCACGGGGCAGTCGGAGAAGGGGCAACTATACTTTCGTGCACTGACGGCGCTGGTTACAAACATGCCGGCGTGGATCGCGTTAGCCGCTGAGGCCTACTTTTTATTGCAAAGGCGCGCCTGGGCATCGATGAGTTCGTGGTCGTCTGAAGCGCGCGCGCGCGCGTCGCATGCACGGAGAGTCGCGGGAGAGAGCGCACGGACGACGCATGTGTTTCATGTGTCAGAACCACGATTCGCACTCTACTCGAGATGCCCGCGAGTAGTCCCCTCCCCACCCCCAGGGCCTCCCAAGGCTAGGGCTGTCATGGCACCCCGCAGGATTTGCACGAACGAAACAACGAATGTATGTGAGGTGAAGAAAAGTCTGGCTCGTACTGGAGTGGACTCACCGGCGCGGTATGGGTGGACGCGAGACAGGATATGGCGGCACGCTGGAGCGAGCGACACACAGACACAGATAAACTCACAGGAGGAGTGCGCGGGACTGTGATTTGTGTTTAACCCTTTTACGTCCACATTTCGAGCGAGTGAAAACCAACTCCTGAGCACGGCGCCGCAGGCGCCTGTTGATAGGTCCAGGTGATAGCCCTGGATGGGCAATGCATTCGCCTACCTGGGCCTCAGATCGCCCGACCGCGTCCCGGTGCTCTGTGGTCGGATTTGTGACGCCGCCGCACCGCGCCGCGGCCGGGGGCCCGCCGGAGGACGAGGATGGCCGTGACGGACCGGGACGAGCTCTGGGAGGTTCAGTGTCAGTGAGTATATTGTAGAGGCCACCCATGTGCACAATATCTTGACTGAGAGCTAAGCCAGGGGAGGCGATGCCGGGGCCGTACAGCAGCTTGATGGTGCTTCGCCGGCGTAGAAGCGGCCGCGGAGGGCTCCGGGTGTCTGAAAAAGACGGATTTACGTGGGCTGTGGGAGATTTACTGTCGACTCAAACGACACTGTGGCGTAATCCTCTCATATATGGCTAAATATTTGCCGAGCCGTTTTAAAGTTCCACCGCTACGACTGGAGATATATCGAGATTTGGTCACCATGACCCTTATGGCGCGAAAGTAGTAAAAAAATCCTTTTTTCTTGCCTTCTGCGAACACACACAGCGCTTCATTCAGCCCTCCGACCATCCGCCCAACTACCCGGAAGAATGAACAGCGCTCCCCCCACACAGGATTTTTCCGACACGAGGCTGCTCGTCGCGCTGGTGCTGGCCCGCAGGCGCCGCGCCGCCGCTCGCCTGGCGCCCTCGCATAGCGGCGTGCCCGCATCCTCTCCCGGCGCTGGCCTCGGCCGCCTGGCGCTCCTCCTGCAGCCACTCGAGGGCCGCGAGGCGCACCATGAGCCGCCATCGGCGCCGCCCATCTGCGAGGTCAGCCAGCTCGACGCCGCGGCCCTCGAGTGGCTTCGCGTGAGCGCCGCCGATGGGAGCTCCGCCGACACGTCTGCCGCGCTTTCCGCGGGCGGCGTCAAGCTGCTGCTGCAACTGCTCCAGGGCTGCTCGCTCGCCGACGAGCCGGCCCAAGAGCAGGCCCACGCCGTGGCGCGCGCCGCGCCGCGCATCCTGGAACGGGTTCTCTCCGCGCGCTGCGCCGCCTCGGAGGCGCCGCCGGACGACGAGAGCGACGTCGTGCGGATGCTGTCGGCGCTGCTGCAGCCGCTCACCGCAGGTGTCTCGCTATCGTGTGGCTGGCTGCTGCTCGCGCAGGCGCTGCTCGAGGTTCTCGGATCCGACCCGGCCACTGGCGAGAAGACCATCACCGCGCTCGCGCAGTACGGTATATTAGCCGCCTCCCGCCCTGTCAGGCTGACCCCCCTGTCTCGCAATCCACAGAGACGGAGCCGTCGACGCCGCGACAATAGGAGAATGGCTCGTCCGGCAGCTCGCGAGCCTGGATGCGGGCGCGCAGCCTCCCACTCGCCCCCACGCCACCTCGATGCCCAGCGGAGGCGAGGAGGCGGCCTCCTTCCGCTCGGGTGGAGTTGGCCTTCCGCCTGGGTGGAGTGTCGAGGCGCGAGACGCGAGCGCGCGCACCTACAGCGTGTACCACGGCCCAGCGGGGCGGCGCGCCGTCTCAGTGCCCGACGCGTGGCGCAAGCACCGTGCTGGCGAGGCCGCCCCGCAGGCTGGCCCGCAAGTCTTGCCGCAACTCCACGGGCAGGCCGCCACGCCCGCGCCACCCCGCGACGCGGCAACATCTACGCCGGCTGCATCGATGGCGCGCGCTATACTCTGGTATCCCTACCGAAAGAGAGGCCAATCTGGTAGCCCTACAAACGCGGCGCCACCACACGTGTGGGGCTGCAGTGCGTCAGCGAGTCTGCCTCTCCTACGCAACTAGCACCCCCTCTGTCTCTCCCCCGCCGCGCGCCATACCACAGGCCTGCAGTCTGGCCCTCGCCCTCAACGCGGCGCCGGGGATGGGCGCGCTGCACGCCGCCCTCGAGCGAGCCGCGTGCCGCCCCTCACCGCCGGCGTGGCTCACGGACCCCTCGGCGGAGTGGCGGCGGCTGCTCGACGTCGCCTTTGAGCACAGCGTGCGCGCCGGCCTGGCGCGTGCGTGCCCCCTCGTGGCAACGCAGCTCTGGCGCACGTGCGTGCTGGTGGGAGGCAGCGGCTGCCTCGCTCCGGCACTCGCGGCTTGAGGCCCGCCTGGAGACCTCGCGAGGATCGAGGCTGCCTCACCCGTCCTCGCCGCCATGACGAGAGGCATGGAAGTGACTCTGGAACCCACGCGGTGTGCGCACCGCTGGGCCGGACGCCGGTCGTCACGCGTTCTCGCCCACTGGCCAACGCTCTCTCGCTCGCACTCATCTCGGCGGCGGCCCTTTGACTTTTTGCGAGAGCGTAGAGCCAGTGTGGCAGTGTGCCCCGAGTGCTCCGCGGGGAGGTCATGCGGACCATGCTCATCTGTGTGCTACAGAAGGAAGCGGGGGGGGGGGGGGGGTCAGTGTTTCAGAAATTTGGAGATAGTAAAGCTCCGACACCGAAGCATTTCAAAACCTCCCTCCCCGCCCTCCCACCTCCATGTGCCGGGCTGTAGAGGGGCGTGGCCCGCCCGGCCCCGCTCACGGCATTCCTTCGCCACGCTCCCACTCCCGCACGACGGCCTGCACCCGCTTGCCATCTGCAGGTGCGCAGTGGGGTGCTTGTACGGGGTGGACGTCGCGAGAGACGTATCTTGAACGTCGTGACGTCACTTCCCACACAGAGCTCAGAGCCGAGGAATCAGGATCATGCGAAGGAAAATCAGATAGAGGAGAAAGCCAGTCACGCTGATGCAGGTGCGCAGGAAGATGGCGTTGCATGCGTGGACACGGATCGGCCTCCCCTGCCAGTCGTCGCGGCCCATCGCACCATCACACAGAGCTAACAGGAACGCGTTGTGGAGAGAAGACGGCCAGCGCCTTGACCTCTGAGCGATGCCTGATGCTCCTCCGACGACTCGATCAGCACGACCAACTTCACGCATCTCGCCGGCACAGCAGGCGACCTCTCTCGTGGGCGACCTCACTCGGTGACGACGGCCCCGCAGGCAGGGGAGAAAAGAAGACCAACCACGCGAGTCCACCGTCTTGAACAAGGGACCGGCAGGCGGCGGCGTCACAGGACGAGGCAGAAGGGAACGACGCGACAGAGGAGGAAATGACAAGGGAGAGAACGACGAGAGTGGGACGACCGCGAGGTGGCATGAAGGTTGCAGCGAGAGTCGGAGAGAGACTGCGAAGAGAGATAGGAAGAGGCAGACTCCCTAGGGTGGGCGACGGCTAGCGCACCACACACCTCTCCTTAAAATCCCTGTGTGGTGGCGGCGTGCCGTCCTCCCATCCCTCCCTTGGGTTGTCTGTTTTCTTTCTTTCTTTCTTGAACACTGCGACAAATACTGTCCCGTTCTGCTGTTCACAGCCTTGTGATTGAGAAGAAAATACCTCCTATGGCGCTGTGCGCTGGCCTGTGAGAGGTTGAGGTGCGAGCCCTGGAGGCCCTGGGGATGGGGGGGGACTACCCGCGGGCTTAGAAGGCCCGCGCGCAGGGGGGTGGGGCATTGAGACCGTTCACAGCTAGGGACGGCCTCTGCGGCAAAGTCAAACCACCCCACCACCACCTACCTACCTACCACCTACCTACCGCAGCAAACCTTCGGCTCCCGCTCAGAGGCTCGCCGCGCCCGTGCGGCGCGCCGAGGCGGCGCCGAGGCCGGCGCCTTGCACCCGGCCCGCGGCCGGCACCGCCTCGCCCCACAACTGACCGCCCTGCAGCCCCTGCGCAGGCGTGCCGCAGGCGTCGCTCAACGACGGCCGGGTGTGAGCTGATCCCTTGCCCCGTCACCCGCCGCCCTCGCCCGGCCGCCTCACCGCGCACGGAGCGCTCGGCTGCTCGCCGCCGCCGCCGCGCGTCCCGCGCCGCCACGCTTGCCCCCCCTTGCCGGACACGCGCTCTGTGCAGCGGCGCAGAGCGCGCGTCCCTGGCACAGACGGAGCAGCGACCGCGCCAGCGGTCGCTGCTCCGCCCCTCCGTCGCGCGCGCCGCGCGCGCGCTGCCGCCGCCGCCGCCGCCGCCCCCTCCTTGCCGTCTTCCCCACCCCTACCCTCTGTTGCCCGCACGCGCGCGCCGCGCGCTGCGCGCACCCGCCCCCGCCCACGCCCCCGCCCCCGCCCCCGCCCCCGCCCCCGCCCCCGCCCCCGCTCCCAAGCGCCCCTTCCCCGGTGGGTGTGCGTAGAAAGTGAAGCCGATCGAGAGGTGGCAGAAGCCGCCGTGTGTGACACATATTGCGGCACGTGAGACGTGTGACGTGAGTGAGAGACATATTGGGGTTTGCGGGGAGAGCCCCGGGCCCGGCGCGCGCAGCGCGCGGGGCGTTTTTTATGCAAACATGCAAACGGGACGGCCTGCGCAGCCTCTAACTTGTAACTTATTTCCGCGTTCCGCGATTTTTCTTTATTCAAAATTCCAAAGAGAAGGGAGGGAAAAGCCAGAAGCTACCGGCTACCCCGGCGTCAAATAAACTTTTTTTCAGCCTGGTTATAAGAGACCAGAGGTGGTTATGGCGCGGGGCAGACATCCAAAGTTCCAAACTAGAGGCCCAAGGCAGAAACCTACCCGTCGGCGGCGGCGGCGACGACGACGCATTGCGGAGGCTTTGCGCCCATCCACTGCCGCACCACCTCGCTCAGCGTGAGCCCGGAGACAAAGAGGCCCAACCACACAACCAGCGCCAGCAGTATCTGCGGCCGCCGCCTCCTGCGCCGAGCGGCCGGCCCGCCTGAGTCAGAGGTTCGCCCTTCCAGCCGCGACGCGCGCAGATTCGAGCCGGTGGCGGGCGCGCGGCGCGGGTTGCGGCGGGGGCCCGCCATGTGCGTCCACGCGGGGAGCACATAGGCCACCTAGAGTGCAATAGAACAAGAAGTGTGCGAATGCGCCTGTCCGCGCCGGAAGCCGCGGTGTGAGTTTGGGCGGCGGAGGGGTGGGAATACCGGCCCGTGCTCTCCCTGCGGCGCCTCGGGGTGAGCACGAGGTCTGCGGGTACAGCGGCACAGCAGCGCGTACGGCACGAACACGGGCGAGTGCAGGTGTGTGCGCGACTTGCGGTGGGTGAGCTGCGGGTGAGCACGGAGGTATGCGTGCGGCATGTAGGGCAAGCGACCATCGCGACGCCAGTCGCGCCGGTGAAGGCGAAGATGGAGGCGGAGGCGTTGGGCAGGAGCCGCGCGACCGCGTGCGCCGCGCCGACGATGAAGGCGGTGACGAGGGCGTTGGGCAGGAGCCGCGCGACCGCGTGCGCCGCGCCGACGATGAAGGCGGTGACGAGGGCGTTGGAGAGCGGCGGCAGCTCGGCCGGCGCCGTGTGCATGTTGAGCACGAGCGGCGGCGATCCCGAGAGGGACTCGCGGTAGAGCTCGCCTACGTAAAGCAGGCCACAGCTCCACCAACCGACGGAGACGGCTCGACAGCGGGCTCGCGGGAGCAAGCTTGCTCGTGTGGATGCTCGCCGCCGTCGATCCCTTGGCGAGCCGCACCAGCGTCTCGCGCAGCGGCGCCGCGATGGGAGCGAAGCAGAGCGCGAGGTAGAGGGAGAAGCAGCCGGAGAGGAGGGCGCCCGACTCGCCGGAGAAGCCTAGCCGAGATGCCCGTGGGCAGTGAAGGCCGGACGCCGTGCGCGGCGACGCCGCACTCGCGTGAGCAAAGCCCTGCAGCGCGTTTTGCGGTGTCTTCGTGTCGAAGAGGAGGAGTCCGCTGCAGCCGACGAGGAGGTAGAAGAGCGCGCTCACGCCAAAGGTGAGGTGCGCGGCGCGCTCGAGCGTCTTGCGGCCCTGCTCGCCCGGCGGCAGCGAGCGCAGCAGCGGCGGCACACAGGGCTGCACGTAGAGCGCGTACCCGAACGTCGAGGCGGCGGTCGGCAGCGCGGCGGGCTGCGGCGAGAGCATGTAGGGCCGGAGCGCCGCGTGCGAGTGCAGGCAGGCGTGCGCGAGGTAGCCGAGCAGCGCAACCATCATCGCGAGACCGAAGAGGGAGATGCCCCCCATCTCGCCCAGCTGCAGCAGAGAGAGCGGCATCACAACCACAGTCGCTCCAGCGAGCAGGACGTCGTGTCGCGCCGCGAGCCGCGTCCAGCCAGCGAGGACGAGCGCGCGCTCGGCCGTCTCTGAGATTGCGGAGAGATTGCCGCACAGCGTGCCGAAGAGGAGCACCACCAACGAGACGCGCGCCACGACCAGTCCCGCCCTCCCGGCAGACCCGAGGACGGCCTCCTCGTAAGACGAGACGCCGAGCCGCGACGCCGCGCGGACCATGAGGATCGTCGTGTAGTCGTTGGCGGCGGCGGTGAGGACGAGGAGTACGCTGGCGCCCGGAATGCCCGCCTGCCCAAAGGCGCACGGCAGCGGCAGAAGCGCCGAGCCGCTGATGGCGAGGAGCAGCGGGCCCGACGTCTTTACAACACGGCCCACGTCCTGCAGCCAGGCGCGGCGCGCGTCCTGCTCGTCGTGGTCAAGCTCCGAGTAGATGGTGAAGAGAGAGGTGGAGGAGAAGTTGACGTTCATTCCAGGTGTGAGCAGAGTCGGTAAGCAGAGTCGGTAAGCGCACAGCCGTCGAACGTGCGTCGGGAAGAGGCGCGGCCTCAGCGGAGAGGCGGGCCGTTCGTTTTTTCGAAAGGAAAAAAGAATTTGCACGACACCACAGGTGTGCACGCTCGTCGACACGGCCACCACAAGCGTTACGACACCGCTAGACCTCGTCGCGGCTAACCCCGCCGGCCCCGTCGCGGCCTCGATCACTGCCAAGCTCGAGGCCGCCTTCAAGCCAGACGTTTTGGACGTGGTGAACGAGAGCGCGAGCCACAACGTGCCACGCGGCTCGGAAAGTCACTTCAAGGTCGTGCTAGTCGCGCACGCCTTTGCGTCGGTGCCGCTGCTCGAGCGACACCGCCTGGTCAATGAGGCGCTGGCGGACGAGCTAAAGGGGCCGGTGCACGCTCTCTCCATCGTGGCCAAGACACCGGCGCAGTGGGCGAAGGCGAGTGGCGCAGTGCCGCCCTCCCCTCCGTGCCTGGGCGGATCGAAGGCCTAGCGGCCCAATGTCGCGTGTGCCTCCGCACACAGCTTCCAGTTCTGCCGCGGCGGTCGACAAACGAGCGTTGCGATGCGTGATCTGTCAAGTGTTCGAGTGGAATCGACCCTGTGGAGGATTTTCTCGCTGTGTGCACTATCGACGGGACACTCAGATCGCGCGCGGTGACCCGGTGACGCGGGGTGTGGGCGTGCTGCTCAGCGGCATACTTTGTCCATATATGTTTATAACGGGGGTCACCCACCCCCGAGGCCGAGCCGAGCCCCGTGTTACGGCGCTCGGCTTTGGCAGCGGCTGGAGTGTCTCTCCTCGCTACACACTCCACTGACCGTGGCATGCATGCCGGTACGCCTCGCGCTACGCGGCTTTATAGGATTCTTTCGTTTGCTCTTTTTGCTGCGCAGCTAACGTCGATGACTCGATGTATATGCGCTCGAGAGATCTGTGAAGTGTGATGAACAGCGCTGAGCGAGGGTGTGTCGAATTGTCGCGGACGGGGTCGGACGACGTCAGCTCCGCAGCGTGATTGGCCGCTCAAAGAGCGGCAACCGCTTCAGGTCGGCAGGGGTGAGAGTCGCCTACATTCGGGGCAGAGGCGCAGAGCTTGTGGGACGGAACCTCGAGGACTGCTCGCCCGCGTGGCGCTGCGGACGCCGGGTCGACTGCGCCGCTCAGAGCGCCGAGGCGCTGCAGCGCCGTCGCCACCAGCGGTGCCCCGAACCCGCATGGCGCCGCGCCCGCCGCGCCCGCCGCGCCCGCCGCCGGTGCACCGGCCGCGCCCGCCGCCTCGCGCGGCGGCGCCAATCGCACGTGTCTCCGGTCTCCCGCGCGCATCCGCCTGTACACCTCCCACAGATTTGCGCAGCGGGCGGACGGGCAGCCCGCCGGACCGCTCGCCTGAAGGAAGGAGGGAGAGAGTGCAGTCTGCCGCACGGCAGGGCGGGGGGAAGGCACGGCATCAGAGGGGAGGTCAAGGCTTCCAGTGGTCTCGAGCATGAGGGCTCCGCATCTAGTAAGGCTCGCGTCGGCATCGAATCCGTCGGGCGACTTTTGCATGCGGAACTCGTCGGTGAGCATCGCCTGGCGGGTGTGGGGCCGGAGGGCGGGGTGGCTTACTCTCACTCTCACTCTCACTCTCTAACTCTCGTGCCAGCCTGCCACCTCCGTCCCCTCCCCCACCCCAGGGCTCCGGCTCTCTGCTTTCGCGGCGGTGCCTGCAGCGCTGTGGTGTCGCGCTCGCCGCGCAGCGGCAGCAGCGTCGCCTCGGCGATGTCGCCCCCCTGCATCAGTCGCTCCTGACAGAGATGGAGGTGTGGCAGGGTGGGGAGAGGCGGCGGCGGCGGCGGCGGCGGCGGAGGGCGCGCCTCGTAGCTGCGGAGGGTCACGCCGGAGGAGGTGCCCTCGAGCAGGTAGGGCACCTCACTCTTCTCGTTGACGACGACGAGTGCAGCGTGGTCCCAGCCCCGCCCGTCGCCCGAGAGGCCGTGCTTCGAGAGCCAGCAGAGCGCCGCCGCGGGCGGATGTAGGCTGCGACACGGCCTGTTGATCAGCACCACGTCGCCCGAGCGGAGGCTCCCGGCGATGAGTTGGTCGGCGGAGTTGTCGGTGAAGTAGGCCATCAGTCTTGCACGGCGAGACGATCGGCGTCGGACTTGCGAGCCAGTCCTGCAGAAAGTCGAGAAGAAACGTCGACCGTTGGGCCCTCAGCGGAGCTGGGAAGAGGACCGCCGCAAGCGGCGTGGCGTGGAGCGGTTGAGCATCCCTCCGGGGGGCCCTCTGCGCCGGGGAGGCGTTGTTGGAGGCTAGGACGCAAGCGTCCGTCGCCCTTTTTCAAACTCGGGGGGCCGCTCGGGCCCACTCCGCTACGCTCCGACCCGAATTTGGAGGGCCTGAAAAGTTTAAGGTGTTGCTGCGCAAAAGGGTGGGGAGCCGCGGCGGCGCCGCAGGCGCGGGCGCGCAGTGGAAGCACGCTAGCCATACATGTTCACGCAGAGGGTCGTGACGGCTCGAGGGTGCGCACACTAGCGGTCCACCGGAATTTGTTGGCGTGCTGTCGCCGCGTCATCCGGCGGCTCCTCCTCTATGAGACGTCCGGGAGCACGCCCTGCCGTCAATCTCGACGAGCGCCGCACACCTGCGCGGACAGTGGGCAGACGTTGCCGCCTTGTGTCCTCGTGTGCCCGGAAAGCCTCGAGCCGGCGCGCACCGGTGGCAGCGCAGGATGAGGCGGCAGCAGTGGAGGGTTGGGGCGCATTTGAAGGCGCTGGCCCCGACGCGCCATTAACTGGGTCGGGGTGGTTCCTCACCCCTCTGGTTTCTTCAGTCAAGCGGGAAGAGTCTGTGCAAGGGGGGCGGATGGGGCTGGCTGCGTCACCCTGGAGCATGAAAGGTTCCTACAGTAAGGCTACTCGGGTACGCAGCACCTTGGCTTGGCCGCCGAGCGGGGAGGCGGTCGACGACGCGCAGCATGGCGGTGAGCGCAGCCTGACGACGCGTCTTGATGGACGGATCCTTCTGCCGACTGACCAGCTTCGCCCAATCCTTGATCAGCGGCTTCGTCACCAACATGCGCTCGAGCCTCGAGAGGCGGAGCAGCCTCGATGCGATCCAGTTCGGCAGCTATCTTGTCGCGCAGCGCATCGTCAAAAGGCAGCTTGTTGCAGGCGTCGCGCGCGTCCCGGAGGTCACGCAGGAGGCTCTCCATATGTGTTGCAATAGCCCACGGCTGGTTGGCTACTGCAGTGCTCCCGTAAAACGAAGCGATGGCTTGCCCCCGTCCACGGCGGACATCACATGGTTTCTGCACGGTATTCGGATTTTGCTATTTGCTCGTGTGGGGGTATACCAGATTTGTCAATGGTACCGCGTCTGCGACGCGGGCGCCTTGCGAGCAGAGCCCTTAGGCCACCCTTTCGATATCTATCTTGCGCGGTCATAAAATCGAGCTGAGTGGTTCCAAGCCTCGGCCAGGTGAGGTGGGTGGGGTGGAAAGAAGAGGCGACGGGAGGAACCGGCAGAGGATGCAGTGACGTGAGACACACACACACACACACACACACACACACACACACACACACACACACACACACACACACACACAACACACAACACACACACACACACACACCGCTCACCCACGCGCACCGGGCCTTGCACTTTGAATGCCGTGGGGCTCCTGTCGTTAGACGTGGAGACGCGAGGGTTGCTGCCCCATCCAGGTTCCCTGGTCATGCTTGTTCGGGTACGTGTTTCGCCCGTCCCTGCCTGCCTGTGTCCGTCCACGTCGCCCGTCGGCAAAGCCGACGACCTATGGTGCTTAACACGCCGCTGGTTGGGGAGGACGCGCCGCTCGATGCTGCGACGGCGCTGGCGATGCGGCTTCCTGCACGCGGTCCCGGCGGGCAGGCGTGGCCCACAGCTCTTCGGCTCGCTCCGCTCGCCGGCGAGTTGGTTGGTTCAGTGTGCATTTTTGGCAATTCCACTGCAATTGTAAATTGGTATGTACGAACAACATGTAAGTCGCTCGCCACGATTGGACGTGACGAGGGCCAGCCCCAATTGCAGCCGAGCACACAGCTCCCCTTACGCCCTCACAGTGCAGTGTCAAGTGTACATTATATCGAGCTGGGTGGTTCCAAGCCTCGGCCAGGCCGTGAGGTGGGTGGGGTGGGTGGATGGTTCCAAGCCTCAGCCAGGCCGTGAGGTGGCGGGGTGGGTGGGCGGTACAAGATCGTGCGCCCGTCATCCAGTCAACCCTGGAGGCGGATTAGCGGCTTCTGTCCGACTCGCTCGCTGCACGGTTGGCTGCGGCGCTCCGGCGCAAGCCGACGCTCGGGAAGTGGCGCCACTCTGCGTGGCTGCCCTCCGGGCTTGTCCTTGGCTCTCCGACATCGATCGAGCACGCGTCCGACGAGCGGCTTGCCGTGCGGGTGGCTTCGTGTGTGGCTCTTGTCGAGAGCGTTTTGCGGCCCGCCGGGTGAGAGAATATGTGTCGTCTGATGTGTCACTGTGTACGTCATATCAGTCTTGATAACAAGCACAGTCGATCCGTCGAAGCGATATACTCGTCACGTCACGCTGGACGCCTTGCAGCACGGAGCTCTGTGCAGGCAAAACAGGAAGAGCCGTGCGGCAAGAAGAGCTCGATATGGGGAGCGAGGACCGTCAAAGGTGCTCACCCAGGTTTCGGACGTCCGTCATGGTGCGGTCAGTTCCCCCCAGGTTTGACCGCGCAGGTCTCAAAACTCGTGGAGCACTCGTAGCCTTTCTGCGACTCTCTGCGTGTGCCCGACTCGGGAAGAGCAGATTTTGCAAGATATCTCAACGAGATCCGACATCTGCGCGGTCATTTTTGGAGTGATCTTACCGCGGCATGACGGAGTCTTGATACCTCTCGGAGCACCTCTAACGGTCCTCGCTCCCTATCGAGATCTTCTTGCCGGACGGCTCTTCCTGTTTTGCGGGGCGCGCTGAGCTCTGTGTCAAGCTCGAAGGGCAACGGAAACGAGTGCATCGCTTCGTTCGATAGACCGCGACCGTGCTTGTTACCAAGACCGATCTCACGTACACAGTTACACTCGATTACACTCCAGACGTCCTGTCTCCCATCCGACAACCGACAAGACGCTGTCGTGAGCCAGCCGCTCTTGCGGCAGCCGTCAGCAGAAACCGAGCGCGTCGGGCGAGTGAGTGGAAATCGAGATGGCGAGCCGCCCGCCAGCCCGCTTGACGGCGCTGGAGCGACAGATTTTGGCTGAGGCTCCGAGGAGGCGAGAGCGAGCTCTAGAGGTGAATCGGTTTTGGCTCTAGTCCAGCTTGGTTAATCCTGGGGCTCAGTTGGCTGGAAAAGAAAAAAATCAGATGCAGCCTTCCACGAAACCGCGAGGTTCTAGCGAGCTCTGCGACCTTCCCGTGGCACCCACACCCCAGATGCTCTTCCGTGTCTCCTGCGCGCTGCTCGCCGCCTCGGCGAGCGGCCTCACGCTCGGCCGCGCTGCGTCGACCGTGGCGCGCACGAGCGTGGCGATGAGCAGCATGCACGACTTCTCGGGCACGACGATCGAGGGCAAGACCATGTCGCTGGGCGACCTGAAGGGCAAGCCGACGCTCATCCTGAACGTCGCCTCTCTATGAGGCACGACGACCGAGGACTTCACCGCAATGAACGCCCTCGCCGACAAGTACGGAGACAAGCTCGCCATCCTCGGGTTCCCCTGCAACCAGTTCGGCCACCAGACGAACGAGGACAACTCGGAGTTCCTCAACACCCTCAAGCACGTCCGCCCAGGCAACGGCTTTGAGGCCGCCCCCACCGTCACCCTCTTCGAGAAGACGGACGTCAACGGCGCCGACGCCGCTCCGCTCTTCAAGTGGCTCAAGGCGTCGCATATGATCCCCTGCGACGAGGCGGGCGACACCAAGGGCAACGGCGTCGACGACAACGACGCGCTCGTCCTGCCGCGCGGCAAGTTCGGCGGATCAACCGTCGTGCTGTGGACGCCGGTGGCGCGCTCCGACATTGCCTGGAACTTTGAGGCGAGCGGCCCCGCCGCCGCCACGCACCGCCGCCGTGCCGCCTGGCGCCATGACCCGCCTCTAGCGCCGCCACCGCCGCGCCGGCGCAGCCCCCCGCGTCGCCCACCCGCCCCCGCCCGCACCCCTCCGCTTGCAGAAGTTCCTGGTCGACGGCGACGGCAAGTGCGTCAAGCGCTACTCCCGCTACTACAAGACGGAGAAGATCGCGGCCGACATCGACGCCCTCCTGTAAGCGGGCCGCGTGGCGGCCGGCCGACACGCGCCTCTCGCTCCGTCGCGGGGGGCTGGCGGCACGGGCAATCAAAGGCGCGCCGCCGCTGTATTATTGCGGCGGCGGCGGCGCGCTGCGGGGGGAGAGCTTCAGGAGCGATGACGGCGGCGAGGCAACGCGGAGTCTGTTCCGCTTCTCGCGCGCTTGAAGTATCCTGCGCTCCCCCCCGGCCCCTGCTTGGTGTGAGCGATGCTTTCACCTCGGGGCCCCTGCAACAGCGCCAGCAACCCACAAGCGGGCGCGAGGCGTGTGTGCGGCTATTTTCTTAGGTTCTAGGGCCAGGCACAGTATGTGGCGAAGGTCGCTGCTGTCTCACGGGAGAATACTCAATACACACGAGTAACGAGTCACGCTCACTCACGGGCTGCAGACGTCTCCACAAACTTAGCTCAGACCCGCGCGTCGTCCCGGCACGCGCCCGCCAAGGCCGAGCGTTTTTGATCTCTGGATCTGTGGGGGGCCGAGCCGCCTCGGGGTGGCGGGCGGGCGGGCGTTTTGAAAAACAGAAAACAAGAGGGGGCCCGGGGGCCCGGGACCCCACTGGGAGTAGAAAATACGCCCAAGGGGGCCCAAGGAGGCGGCGCGGGGAAGCAGCATCAGGTGAGAGCAGGAAGGATGGCGCTTAGGGTCGGCTTTGAACAAGGCCGGCACCAACTTGATTCGTAGATGCGCGTCTCACGGCCGGACCGCGGGACGGGGAGGGAGGCGGGGGGTGGATCCGTAAATCCGTAAGTCCGTAAATCGTGTAACAAAAAACCACGAGAGACTCCCCCGCCGCACCTAGCTACAAGGCAGGCAGAGACACAGCACTCGCGACACGCTGAGAAGCCGGAGGCTGAAGCAGTGCGGGCGCAGGAGCGTGGAAGGGCTGCAGCCTGCCAGGTCTACCCAGGTCGCCAGAGTTGCCTTCGTACCTGCGCCGCGCCGCGCAGGTGACCCACCGTGATCAGCAAGCGAGTCGGGAGGCGCCGCTCCCGCATGAGTCGCACCAGTTTGTCGCGCAGTGCTTGCCCGAAGCCGCCTCCTTGAAGTAGACGCTCGGGTCCTGGTGACGGCTGTGGTGGTCGCGGGCCCGCCCAAAGCACGAGTCTTCGAGGAAGAAGGGCTGCGGCCACCTCTGCCACGGCTCCGCGCCCCACATGGACCGGAAGATAAACTCGCGGTCGCGCAGCAGCGCCTGGCAGCGCTCGCACTTCGCGCAGCCCACCATCACAACCCGCGTCCGGCGGGCACTCTGGGTTCCGGCTCCTAGCCGGATAGGGGGTCTGCACTGACTCGCGCCAAAACGCCTACCTACCTATCCCCAGGCCGCGCAGCGAAGCGAAAAAAGATGAAAATAGGCGGTACCTACCTATTGCAGGGCCCTTTTCGCTTTTGGGCGAAACAAGACCAACCTACCTACCTATCTCACTGGGAGGGGCCAGCCAGTGGCGACAGACCCCCTATCCGGCTAGGAGCCCGGGCCCTGGGCCACGGCCTGGGCTCGCAGGAGTCAGAAAGAATTTTCGAAGGCGCTCCCTCTTACGACACTGGCGCTGGGGGCACGGGACTGGCCGTGGGGTCGCCGTGGGCGTGGCGCACAAGAAGAATTTGAGTCGGAAAGACATTCCCGGTTTACTAGCGCGCACACTGGCACGAACACGCACATGCTCATAAATTGCACTCGCGGGAAAGAATTCAAAAGCCCGCTCAGCCGGCAGGCCTGCTGCACACACATACACACAGAACGAGCATCAGTGTTGTTCCGATTTAGAGAGAAACACGCGCCCCCGGCCGACTGGTGACTCCGCGGGGAGACCCTACTTCTCTGCGTACCGGAGCTCCACGAGCCGGTTCAGCTCCAACCCGATCTCCGCGACCCCATTCTCCTCAGCGGTCTTGATCGCCGCCGTGAGCCGCTCCGCCGTCGCCGCCAAGTCCAGCGCCCGGGTGCTTTCGTGCAGTTCTGTCCCCTCGACCGACACGCTCACGATGGTGTCCTTGACCTGGACGCCAGACTCGACCAGCGGCGTGGTGACACCCGAGACCAATACTAGGTAGGTCGCCTCCACGAGCCCGAGGCCTTCCACCTCTGATAATGGCAGCTTTGCCGTCGTCTTGCCGATGGCGAAAGCGGCCTCGCCCGAGCCCTCGGCCTCCGATAAGGATTTCGGAGGGTCGACGCCTCCAGCCTTGGCCAACTCGCGGTCCAGTATTTCGACGGCGGCTACGAAGGTGGCCTTGTCGACCGGAGGAACGTCGTCCCTGGCGGTGGGCTGACGCTGCATGCATGGCCTGGAGCGCGAGGCGCTGAGCTGACGCTGGGCGTAAAGTGTTCGCGCTGGCGGCAGCAGCCACGCGTTAGCCGCGACGAGTAAGCAAGCCATCTTACTCGTCGAAGTGCGGGGGGAAAAGAATTTTTCGCTGGACTGGGAGTGCGAAGGAGATAGAACACACCCCTCTCCTTAAAATCCCTGTGTGGTGGCGGCGTGCCGTCCTCCCATCCCTCCCTTGGGGTGTCTGTTTTCTTTCTTTTCTTTCTTCATCACTCAAAAGGAAATCGCACAATACTTCAGGTTCCGCGAAAAAGAAATCGGTGTCCGAACTGGGGCTGCAAACTCGGCCGTCCGCATCGGAGCGCGCTGCTGCCGCACCCCAGCCTGCGTGCGCATGTTGCTGAGGCACGCACGAGGGCTGCGGTGATGCCGAGCCTGGCACACACGGTGCTGCTGGCACTGGCTGCCCATCCCAGCGATGGTGGATCGGACGCAGGGCTCAAAGTGAAGCCGCCGGGTCCTCCGCCAGATGGAGACCCGACTGAGGTGAAGGCAGCGACTGAGGTGGAGACAGCGCTCCTCGCGCCGAAACGGACTCAGCCCGCGTCGAACAGCGGCGAGTGCCCGTGCCTCGATGAGTATCCCGGTGGGTCGGCGCGCAGACCTGTCCTCCCTGAGGCGCTTCGCTTCCCGACGCCTGACGGATATGGCCTCGGGTGTGCGCCGCATGACCGAGGCCTCCCGCCGCTTTGTGACCCCTACACCTACGCGAATCGGACGGCCCCCTCCTGGTGCTTCAGATCGTGGTGCTACGTTGATCCAAAGCAATGTGAGCTTCCGTCGATGGAAGGCAGGTACCTCTTTGGCGGTTCGGTCGCTTACTCCTACGCCACCTGCAACGAGTCCTTCACAGACAGCGACTCCCTGCACTCTGCATTCGAGGACTCGGTCGAGTGTATGTCCGAGTGCCAGAATCTGACGCGACAGCGCGTGGCCTTTGTGGTACACGGGACGAGGTCACACAGCTTCTGGCTCAAGATGTACGTTGATGCGATGACAGCCGGTCTCCACTTCGGAGTGCACGTCGACTGGTACGAGTGCGATGGCGATTCTCAGCGTCAGGCCAGTCGCATCGTCAGTCTGGTACATGACCACGGTCCGCATTTACCGCTCATCGTCACTATTCCAGACGAGCGAGTCGCGACACAGGTGACATGGGCCAAGGCGCAGGGCGTGCGGGTCTTCGGCATCAACACTGGGCTAGGCTCGTCAGCGGTGTCTTCGGTCGAGATGTTTGTGGCTATGAATGACACGTACGCTGGCGAATGGGCAGCATTTGGCCTGCTCAGCCTAGGCGTCAAGAAGCCCGTCTTTGTGGAGCATGGCACTGCCATTGGATGCGATTCGAGCGCCTCGGAGCAGCAGGATTCGACCCATCGCCGTCCCTCGACAGAGGCACCGGCGTGGGCGGAGCTGCGATGGAAAGGGTTCCGCAGCGTCTTTTTGAGAGCAGGGATCGAGCCGGCTCGTGTCTGCATCGGCGAGATGTCGTCATCAACCTCATGGGATCAGACGCTCGACGTGCACACGGCACAACAGGCGAGCACTTATGAGAGTCTCCCTGGCGCGGGCAGGCCGCCCGCCACACTTGTCACCCTTCCCACGCCAGTGACGTGTCCATGACGCGTCGGTTGCATGCCACGTCCACAGGCGGCTCTCGCGGACCCCAACATCGGCTTGATCGATAGCAAATGGGTGTCCGATATCCATCACAATGCGACTCATTCGGGCTACATCGTCCACTGCACACGTCCCTGCAAGTACGATGGCATCTTTGCAGCCGGTGATCAGAGCCTCATCCAAGTTGCGCATGCGCTTCAGGTGCACAACTGTTGGACGGGACCCCACTTGCAAGCGAGCGGCCTCGCAATGACCGCCCTTGCCGTCGTTGACGACTCAGAAGTTGCGCGGGCGCTGCTGCGAGATGGGAAGCTGCAATTCATCATCGACCAGCGTCAGTTTTTGCAGGCCTATTTGCCGGTCATGGTCGCTGTGACCGGAGGGAGGCTCACTGACAAGCTTGAGAGAGTCCACCTAGAGACCCTTGCCTTCATCGGTGAGGACGGCGTCTCGGAGGCCGTAGACCCCGAAAGCCTCGGCGCACCCCCGTGGACGGGTTTGGCGACGGAGGCTCAGCTTCAGCACCTCGAGCTTCAGCAGTTGAAGCCGAGTGCCGGGCGAGGCGGGGTCGAGGGCGGTGGCGGCGACGGAGGACGTGGGGGCGGCGGCGAAGGCGGACTCGGCGAGGGTGCATTTGCGAGAGGAGGAGTCGAAGCGGATTTCGACCCGAAATTGGTTCAACCGCTGATACCGTGGCCTGACATTTGCTCCGATGCCCACGCCCGCTTGGAGAGCTCCGATGCCCACGCCCGCTTCGATCACTGCGACTCAGGCGTCAATGGCGTCAATATTTGCGGCGCCTTTTGTGTCGCCGAGTCTATTTACGCCCACCGCCGGACCATACGCTGCGAGCAGATCACGGACGTGGCCCACTTTGCCTTGCTCTTCAACGGCAACCGGGTCCACCGTTTGGATGGCGAGATGTACGGGAAACGCACCGAGCTTCTCGCTCGCGTGTGTACGATGAGTGTGAATCAGGTCGAGGACCAGGAGTTTGTCTTTGACAAGACATATCATCAGGGATCCTGGCTGAGCAATACGCAGATTTTGTGCGCACAGGATTCGCTCGGCATCCCCTTCTGCCCTCCAATCTCGGACGTTGCGATCGCCGAGCAAGCCGCCCACGCCGCTCGCGAGGCGGCGGAGCGAGCCGAGGCCGAGCGAGCGCAAGAGGCATTCCGCGCCGAGCAGGCGGTGATGAAGCAGACCAAGACGGTCCTCATCTTCGTGTGCATCTTCCTCTTCTCGGTGCTGGCGGTCTGCACGTATGTGCTGCTCATGCGCATCCGGAAGGAGCGGCGCGCGCAGGCGGAGCACTTGGCGCTCAACCATCGTCGCGCGCACGCGGCGATCAGCTCGCTGCGCGAGCTGCAGGCGCCGATGGTGCTCATGCGCTTCTCGGACTTCCGTGCGCTCGGCGGGCTGGCGTCGCACGAGGAGGCACGCCAGCGGTCCTTGCTCCACGTCCTCGACACGCACGACGACCTGTGCGCCTTTCTCAGCGACCACTCGACCGTGTTCTGCTCCCACCAGTGGCTCGGCTTCCGGCACCCCGACGTCAACAACGTGCACTTCCGCAGTATCGTTGACGCTTGCGATGCCCTCTGCGAGCAGGAGGGGCTCGCGCCCGAGTCGCTGTACGTCTGGCTAGACTACCACAGCATCCAGCAGCGCAACACGCATGTGCAGTCCCTCTTCATCAACTCGCTCCCCTTCTACGCAGCGTCGACGCGCTACTTCCTAGTGATCGCTCCGGACGCCGATCACATAGACACCGGCAAGCGCTGCGACGCGCTGACATATCAGCGGCGAGGCTGGTGCCGGCTCGAGTGCTGGGCTCGCATGGCGGCCGGCGGGCTAGACAATATGTTTCTCTGCTCCACGGACGCCGGCGTCTTGAGCGAGATGGCGAGCGTCTCAGGGCTTTCGGGCCAACTCGGGGTGTTGCACTCGATCGCCTTACCCGGGGTGCGCAGCCCAAGCGCGCAGCAGTGGAGCCTTCGCGACGTGGTCCAGGCATGCGCCCCAGCCGCGCCGCGCCCCCGCGCGTGCGCCAAGCGTGAACGCGCTGGACAGTGGTCTGCATGCACGCACAACGTCATAGTGTGTCTGCAGGTGTTCGGTGGCGACTTCTCGAACCCCAACGACAAGGAGAAGCTCGTGGACCCCGTGCTAGGACTCTGGGCGGTGGTGGTGAGCGGGCAGGAGCGCGAGAGCGCAGCCAAGGGCATGTACGACCACGTTCTGGACGTCGGGCTCTCGACGGTCTTCCCGCCGAAGCACTTTGGGGGGCTCGTGGAATTGGTCAACGCCTCGTTCGTAGATGCGCTCGGCGACTCTCCTCTCGGAGGCCGCGCGCAGGCTACAAAGGTGCCGGCGTCACCTGCGGACTCGAGTGGCACAACGTCGCCCGTGGGCACACGCAGACTCGCGTCGCCGAGCACAAAGGCGGCTGAGAATCGGAAAGAGCTCAGCCGGCTGTCGACCGATATCCACCAGCAGTTCCGACAGCTTCACAAATCTCGATGCACCGGCGTCAGCGTGCTGAGCCGTGTGTCGAGCAGCAGCGTTGGGAGCGAGGCCTCGAGCGCGGAGGGCGCTGCGCAAGGCAGGCAGCGGGACCACGGTCGCACGCCGAGTGTACCATCGGTGATGAGCACAGCGAGCACAGTGTACACAGCGATGGTTTGAGGTGGAGGGGCATGCACAACATGTGCATGTGCATGCACATGTGCATGTTGTCATGTGTTACGTCGTGTGGTATTGATTGTATTTTGTCCTCTATTTGTCCCCCAGCCTGGCCCCAGCCAGCCCCAGCATATAGCATAAAATCTCGTAATGTCTCCATACAGCAGCTTTGCAAATAAAAAGAAAGAAAACCGCCGCCGCGTCAGCTGTGGTATAGGCTATAGCCCCAGTGCCGGCCCCCAGCCTCCGGGAGTCAAAAAAAGAAAGAAAAGGGAAAACAAGGGAGGGATGGGAGGGATGGGAGGAGGACGGCGGCACGCCGCCACCACACAGGGATTTTAAGGAGAGGGGTGTGATGCGCTAGCCGTCGCCCACCCTTGGGCGTCCGCCTCTTCCTATCTCTCTTCGCAGTCTCCGGGGGAGTCAAAGAATATAATTCTTTCCCTGTTTAAATTCTTTTCCCTGTCTGCTGTATGTATGTATGTAGGAAGGTGAAGAACAGCCAGGCTCGGACTGGACACCAACGGCAACGCGGTATGGGTGGACGCTGGACAGATGATGACGACACGCACGAGCGACACACAGACACAAAAGGCTCACAAGGCACACAGCCAGCTGGCTGCCACACACCCGGAGTTGGCGTACACATAACTCAGGGCCACATCCTCCCTGTCGCCCCCCCCAGCCAGCACTCCAAGGTGCCAAAGGAACAAACAAGGGCACAACAAGACAACAGACGACAGGAAGTAACATGTGAGACTAGAGCAGGCTTGCTCCGCCTCTAGCAATCTCGCCGCCAGCCGCAAGGCATGGGCGCGCCCATGCCTTGCGGCTGGCGGCGAGCGAGATTGCTAGCCGCGGAAACGAGTTTTCTCTAATTCTTTTCCCGCCAGTGCGCGCCAGTCCCGTGCCCAGTGTGGCCATTGGTCAAATTCTTTTCCCGCGGTGACAATGCCAGAGTGCGCCAGTGTGCCCGGTGTTGTGCGAGGGAGCCTAGCCCGTTAGGCGACTCCCGTTGTGTGTGCTGTGTATATGAGCCGCGCCACGATCGAGCTGGCCACCACCGCCACCGCCGATGGCCTTTCGAGCATCGCGCTCAAGATCTGCTCGCCTCCGAGCCCCATCGCCGCAGCTGTGTTCGCACACGGCGGTTGCTTCAGCGACGGCTGCTCGCAGTCGCACCCTGCCGTCACCGAGGCCCTGGCAGGCATCGGCATCGCCTCGGTATCGTCGACCTATCGGCAGGGCGCGGCGCATCCGCACCCGACAGCGCAGCACGACCTCGCCTGTGTCGCTGAGTTCGCTCGGCGACGCTGGCCGTCACTGCCGCTGGGCGTGATTGGCTCGAGCAGCGGCGGGTGGCACGCGCTGGCGCTCTCACGCACGATCGAGGGCATGCGGTTCTGCGTCGCCCTCTGTCCCGTCGCGGACCCGCTGCTGCGCGCAGAGTACCTACGAGAATGCGTGCAGGGCACTGCGGCCATCGCGGGGTGGAGGGTATGCCACGAGCCGTCTGTGGCTGGGAGGATGCTTGCCAAGCAACTAGGCGCGCCGGGCAGGGGTGCAAAGCCTGCCGCTCCACACACGCGCTCACAGCTGCCCTCGGGAGCGCCGCGAGGGGAGCGGTAGCTGCAGAGCTAACACCGGCTGCTGTGGGTAGGCTACTGGGGAGACGACGAGTCAATGCGCGCGGCCGGGGAGATGCTGCTCCCTGCCCACGCCGTGCCGACGATGCTCGTGCTCGGAGGCGTCGACAAGAATGTGCCGCTGCGTGTCGCAGAGGGCGTGCAGGGCTGGGCGCACCGCACGCTCATCCTCGGCGGCATGGGCCACGAGATCCAGGACGCCCCACCTGCCGCAAACTCGTGGGTGCCGGACGTCAAGGCCTTTGTGGCGAGCGCGCTCGTCGGCACGGCCGCCGCCACGAAAGGGGCGCCTTGCGACCAAGAGGCTCCGTAGTGACCGCCAACTCAGTGATAAAGCAGGAAACGAAATAAAGCCGTAAATAAAACGGGCACCTTTAGCCCTCACACCAAGATCGTGCAGGGCGGGGACACATGTCCCTAAATCCCATCTCGTCTCAGAGTTTGCCCGTTTTATTTATTTATTTATTTACTACTCTATGAGATAGACTCGGGCAGACGATGTGGAGCGGGCGGAGCAGGAGCAGACGTTGCGCAGGGCGAGACGAGGGAGGGAGCAGGACTTTGCGGAGATCAGCAGGAGGATATACGAAGAGATTAGGAGCAGCAGGGACCCGAGGGACCATGTGTGGAAGAGACGGCTAGTGCTAGTCCCCCATCGGGAGGACGACCCCGCGGCTAGCTCGCCGACCACACCCACAAAGAACCCTGCACAAAGATCGCACGGGTGGGGACCTGTTCCTTTTTACCCATCTCACAGTAGAGGTGCCCGTTTTTATTTATTTATTATGAGATAGACTATGGCATAGACTATGGGTAAATAAAGAAAAAAGGCGAACACAACAGGCACTTGATGAACACAACGAAACGGGTGTCCCCGCCCGTGCGATCTTTGTGCAGGGTTCTTTTGAAAGCAGGACGACTCTCAACTACGTAATTTGATGTGTGTGCCCGTCGGGTCCGACACAGCTTCAAAGATACCCCCTGGGAAGCGGGAGAATCGTCCACACTAGAGCCGTCGACTCACTCTGCGTACAACGGAAGGGGTGCGACGGTGTATCAGTCAGTCGCCTTATGCCACCGTTGCATATCCGGATATGCAACGGTGGCATAAGGCGACTGCAACGGTGGCATAAGGCCACTGATTACACCGTCGCAAGAGGGGTGCCACACACACACACATCCGAAGTGAGCGAGCGGTGCGCACTCTGGACTCTCTATGTACCGTCACTCGCGAGACGCGACTCGGTGGACGGGGCCGCGTCCCCCCCCCCCCCCCCCAGGGCGGCGCCCAAGGCCCCAAGGACCCAAACAAAGCCGTAGGCAAGCGCAAGGAAGGACGCAACAAACATCAGACATCACGACCCGAGGCACGTAACGCGTGAGGGCCGACCCTGACAGCTCACAGCTCGAGGATCGAAGTACGTGATGTTCTCTGGAGGGAAAGAGATGATGTAGGAAGTACGAGGCTGATCCGGCCGTGTCCCCAGCACAGCTTTGGCTTCGACGGGCGCCTCCCACGGTGCGCCGGGCGACCGACTCGAGCGGCATGCGGCTTCAGACAGGCCTCGGCCCGGCTCCTGGCGGGTCGCTGAAGCGTCTCGGCGGCTCTCTCTCGGTTGCGCGGTTGCGCGGTTGACGCTTTTTTGGCGCTCACGGCGGGCGGCGAGGCTGGCCTTGAGGTCGCAGCGAGCCGTCCAGACGTCTCACGGTGGCGTCGCGCATATCACTCGTGGCGTCGGTCGCCTTGGAGGCGGCAGAGACGTCCAGAGGCGGCGCATTTTTATGGGCACGCCCGGCAGCGAGCTGCGGGTGAGCGCGCCGCAGGCTGAAGACCTCCCTTGGCGCGGCGCGAGCGGCGCGCACCGCGGCACGAGGGCGCGCGGCGCTGCCGCCGCGATCAGTCACGGCCTGCGCCCGGGCCGGCCGCGCGGGTGGCGTGGCAGCGACCACAGCACATGGTTCTCGGCATCTTCGGTTGCCGCTGCACGGCGCGCGTGTCCGACCCAGTGAGTCCTACCGGTGAAGTGTGTGGTGTCCAGCCGCGCGGTGTTGCAGACTACGTCGCGTGGTGTGCTTGTGCGTCGGTAGTCATCGCAACTCGCACTGTGTCCGCACTGCCGGTGCCGTGCCGGCTGGGTCCGTCGCAGCGCACGCACTCTCCCTGTGGGTCGAGTCGTGGTTTATGCGCGAGTCGTGGTGTGCGAGGATTATTTGACTAACACTCTGATTAATACCCAGCGCGGCGTCTCGCCCTCCCCTCTCGCTCGCGGCACCGAGCGAGTCAAACACACCATCTCTCGCGCGCGTGGAGCAGGAGCACACTCCAGCACACACACCCCATGTGCCGTGCCGCACGGCCAGCGCTCCCACCGTGTGGTGCGGCTCAGTCCACAGGCGCGGACTGGTCCGTCGTGCGCCCCATGTGCGTACGCGCGCAAGCACATGAAACTCTTAACCAGTTATTAGCAGTACCCAGGGGGTGAGGGGACGGATTGAAGATCCCTCACACCAAGATCGTGCAGGGCGGGGACACATGTCCCTAAATCCCATCTCGTCTCAGAGTTTGACCGTTTTTATTTATTTAGTACCCTACGACACAACACCGTGGACCTCCTAGAGGCCGAGCCTCCTAGAGGCCGAACCGGGGTGATTTTGGTCATCCGTCAAAATATCTGAAGATCTGTCTATAGGATTCTCCCCAAACCTTGCTCAGCTGATCCAGCACGGGCCGTAGGCCAGCCCTGGGCAAAGAAACCAGCACCTCATCAGGCTTCCCTGAGCGTCACAGCTCGGTGATCGCGCCGGCCGGACACCACTGTGACGTCCGTTCCGGGCATTTGAACGCGACCTTCGGGGGCAAAGACATGGGCTCTGTGGCTCAGACTGGACTCCTCTTGGTCCCTTCTGATGCCCTAGGCCACACCTGGGCCTTACCTGGGGTCCTAGGGGCCGGGCAGGGTTTGCCCCCCCCAACTGGCCCGGGGAACCTTAAGGATCTGACTTCGGGATGGCCCTTGAAGGGCCTTCCCGACTATGGACCGTCCTCTATTTAGCCAAGGTACAGGTATGTTGAGCCGCAGCTGTCAGCCACATCTGTGTCTGAATCTCTGAATTATCTCTCTCTCCCCCCCCCCCCCCTGCAGCCCACGCCACAGAGCGCCCACAACACCGCTTTTTTGGAAAGATTAACGTATAACGCATAAGACCCTCGCCCCTAAGTCGCGCGCACGCGGCACTGCGCAGGGCCTCCACCCAGCACTCAGCTCCCAGGCGCCACCAAAGGGCCAGGCCGCAGGGGCGCGGTCGCTGCCTCGCACGGGGCGGTGTGCCTGGCCGCTGCTGCTGCCAGACAGTGCGATCAGTGCGCAGTGGCAGAGTGAGCTCTGGGAGTGTGGAGAGGGTGTGCCATAGTGGCACTCTCTGACCCGTGTGCTCTTGGTCTCGCTGTTAATAAAATTTGAAACACTCCGAACTCCGTCTTTTTTACGGGCTACGTTTAAACGCAGGAGCTTCAGCTACTGGTCCAGAATCTGCACCCAGAGGCACGGCTCCTCGGCCGCTGCCTCTGCGCCGGGCGACGGCGCCGCGACCTCAAAGCCGCTGCCCACGTGCGCCGGCCTGCAGACGGCCACCACGGTGCTGCTGTTGGGGAGGCAGAGGAGGGGCGCCCGCCGCCGCTCGTCGAGCGGCACGTCGAGCCCGCGCAGAAAGTGCGAGAGCGAGACGGGCGCCCGACGCCCCTGCGGGTGGAACCGGTCGCCACGCCTCCACTCGCGTAGCGTCAGCTCCCGCTCGCTGCCGAGGCCGCCGAGGCGGAGGGCGAGCGCGCCGGGCGGCAGCTCGGCCCGCGGCCCTTTGGCCACCCCCGCCCGCACGGCCAGCTCCGCGGGGTGGCGGAGCCGCACGCCAGCCTCGCCCACCGCGAGCTCGGCGACCGACGCCTGTACAGCAGTCGTGTCACGCTCAGAGGCAGTCAGCGGCACGTGCCCCTTTTCTGCGGGCTCGGCGGCTGCCACCTCTGCGCCGGCGATGGAGACCGTGGCGCCCGTCCGGCGGAGCAGCCAGCCGCCGGATAGCTCGAGCACCCACTCCTGGAGGAGGCGGAGGCGGAGGCGTCGCGGGGGGTGGGTGGTGGGTGGGTGGGTGGTGGTGGTGGTGGTGTGGTGTGGTGGGGGGTGGGGTGGGGGAGGGGGGGGGGCAGGGGGCGCTGCATGCGATAGCGAGAGGTGGACGCCGAGGGCACGCTATGTCCCACGAGACGAAAGGGGGAAGGGGGGAAGGGGGGAAGGAGAGGGAGAAGGAGACGGGGAAGGAGTCAGACAGTGAGAAAGAGAGGGAGAAAAAGACAGGGCACGGCAAGGAGAAGGAGAAGGAGAAGATTATCACAGGCGCTCCTGCCCCGACCGCGCCAGTTGTGCGCGGACGCGCCGCAACGCGTCCCGCGTCAGGGAGAGGCGGCCGACGCTGGCGCCGCGGGCAAGGCGGTGCAGCAGCTCCTCCTGCACCTGTGGGGCATGTCTCGGACATGTCGTGGACGTGTCGTGGACATGGCGGCGCAGCAGCTCCTCCTGCACCATCGTTTGCGCGGCGAGGAGCGGGGCGACAGACAGGGCCCGTCCTCCCGAGCGCGCCCACGCGGGGTCTGCCGCCACGTGTGCGGCGTGCGCCTGCTCGGGGGGCAGTTGGAGCGGGCAGTCGGAGTTGGAGCGGGGTGTTGGAGCGGGGTGTTGGAGGCGTGCGCCTGGTCGAGCCACTCGCGCAGCTGCGCCGACTGCTCGCTCGCGGCGCCGAGCCGCGCGAGGAGCCCCCCGCCGGTGAGCTCCTCGAGCAGAGGCAGCAGCTGCAGGCGGATGCGGTTCCGCTTGTAGGTTGGCTCCGCGTTCGTGGCGTCCTCCCTCCAGCCCTCGCCCAGCGCGCCCAGGTACGCGGACAGCTCTTCCTTGCGCACGCCGAGCAGCGGCCGCACGAACCGGCCCGCGCGCCACTCCATCCCTCGCAGGTTGCTGAGGTGGCAGCCACGGAGCGCCTTTGAGGAGCACCGTCAACTCATCTCTCACCATTCCTCAGTGAGAATTGAGGATGGGGCAGCCAGGAGCGCCTTCAGGAGCACCGTCTCCGCCTACCCACGCCGAGGCACGTGACAGACACGCGCCGCGTTCCACCTCCTCCCAACACCGCCGCCCCCGCCTGGTCATCGGCGTGGTGCGCCAGCGCCACGAGTGACGCGGCACCGGGCTCGTCCGCAAAGTCGGCGTCGGCTGAGGAGAATTGCGGCGGACCCGCGGCGTCGAGCTCGTCGAGCAGCGCGAGGCTCTCCGCGCGGCGCCACTCCCGGCTCCTCTCCTGGATGCCGCCCGGCTGGCTTTCCCGCCAACCCGCCGGCAGCCGCCGCACGTGCACCGGCAGGGAGTGCCTCTCCGCCAGTGCGTGGACGAAGGCCTCCTCGTCGCCCGACTCAGGGCGCAGGCCGTGGTTGAAGTGCAGCACGTGCAGGCGTAGCCGCCAGCGCGGCTGCAGCGCCAGCAGCAGGTGCAGCAGAGCCACCGAGTCGCAGCCACCGCTCACGGAGACCACGAGCCGCTGGCCTGGCGTGGCGCCGATGTCGCGCGAGAGGGCCGTGTGCACGCGTGGCAGCAGCAGCTCTGCTACTGGGCCGCCGGCGACGGCGGAGAGCGCTCGGGAGAGCCGCTGCCTGCGGGGCAGGCTGCGCGGCCAAGCGCGAACGCGCATCAGCGAACCAGCGCCTACGCTGCTCAAGGAGTAGGGCTCCGAGCGCTGTGCGCGGAGCGCGCCCCGAAGAAAATTTTAGGTTGAGGAGCACTTGGAGCACTGCGGCGATGGCGGCGGGCGAGCTGCTCGAGATGCTCGAGAGCTTGCCGCGAGGGGCGGTCGAGGCCTCTGTCCGACAGATGCGGGGTTACAACCGCACGGGCGAGTGGCCAGAGCCCATTCTCACCAGCCCTGCCCCGCAGCGCGGCCGCTCGCCAAGCCCCGTCGATGAGTGGTCAGATGGTTAGTGCCCGAGAGCGAGGGGTCCGGGGGGGAGCACAAACATAGGACGCCCAGCCTTGCCCTCGTGCCGCCGAGTGCATATCCTATGCGAGAGAGATCCCCTGTGCCCTGTGCCCAGCCCTCTCCGCGCGGCGATGCGCCCTCGCCCCTCGCTTTTGCAAAATCCTGCAAAGGTGGGGACGTGTCTGTCCTCGACCCAGCCCTAGCTTGGGATGTCCGTTGTATTTATTTATTTATTACTTGGAGTGCAGTCAGTAACCGCACATCCAGGAGGGCTAGATGCGATTTCTATTAAGGTGTACCTGTGAGCCAGTGTTCTATTAAGAGTTGACTCACACGCTAGGAACCACTCGGCGCGGCCCACCCACACGATGTCGATGACACAAACAATGCTTGAAAAACCATTCTGACGAGCCGCCGAGCATACTTGCGTGGACGTTTCGGGCTCCTATCCCCCGCCCCGGATCCGTGGGCGATCGCACACGCGGCTGGGGGGCACGGCGCAAGGTGCCAGGTGGCGCTTACCACTGAAAAGGAGGTTTTGGAGCCCCTAAACGCCTCATAATAGCCGCACGTTTGCACTCGCCGTGCCTTGCCATCTCCGAGCCGCGCCCCCTCCTTCAGTTTTGGGGCGAATCGGGTGCCGAACTCGGCGTCGACAGCTTTGGCTCGACATCTTTACCATTACACAACATTGAACCGCGTTTCACAAACATGTTTTCCGCTCTTCGGCGACACGGTTTGCCTTGAAGTTACCGCACCGACGCTAGATTCAAGCCCCTTCAAGCCAATTTATGGGCAGGAACACTGCTGCTGCTAAGCACCCGCACCGCCCAGTGAGTAGTGTCGCGGGCTAGGATAAGGACCATGATCTGGCTTCCACAGATCCCACATTTCGTGATGAGGGAATCAATGCCGAGCAGCTCTGAGTGCTGCGAAGAGTGCAACAGCGCAGCTTGCCAGGCCGCCTGGACTAAGTGCAACTCGCAGCCCAGACAGACAGCTTGCGGCATGCACCGCCGCCAGCTCCAAGAGTGAGAGGGATACATGGTTGGGAGAGAGATTTTTAGCAATATCGTTGGTGAGCGTGAGGGAGTGCCAAGTCAGTAGCGAGGAGGTCGGGGTCGGGGTCGGGGTCGGCGTCGCTCATTGTTGCAATGTCATTGAGGCAGGAAAGAGCTCGCCCCTCGCCGAGGAGTCGAGGGCTCCTAGAGGGCTCCCGACCACGCCGGAACCCAGCCAGGATAAGGCGCGCTTGCCTTAAACTGCAATATCCAAACAACTCTAACACTCACACGTAATTTGGGGCCTGGAGCCCTGTTCACGCGCGCGCAGACAGGGTTGCCAGGTGAGAGCGAATGGCGCGGTTCACGCCTCGCACAACAGAGAGAGAGATGCGCTCTGCATTAGGTAGGTAGGTAGGTAGGTAGGTAGGTAGGCATGAAAATGCCATGAATCCCAAAAAAGAATTTCGCGCGCATGCATGGATGCATGGAGCGCTCGTCTGCCACGCTCCGCCTGGTGGACTGGCTGGCGAACCGCGGCGCACACGTGCACCCAGAGCTCGAGCTCTTTGGCGAGCACCCGAGCAGAGGGCGCGGCGTCTTTGCGCTTGCGCCGATCCGCAAAGGAGAGCTCCTGCTGGCGGTTCCGCGCTCGGCCGTGGTGTGCGCCTGTGAGGAGTCGGACTCCTCGTCGAGGTGGCTGCCCGCAGAGGCGCGCGCCATGTCGCCGATGGTGCGCACTGCGCTGGTGCTCATGCGAGAGGAGGCGCTCGGCGACGCCTCCTCGTGGGCGCCGTACCTCTCTCTGCTGCCCCGCTCGTACGACACGCTCGAGAACTGGTCGCCGGTGGAGATCGAGCGGCTGCGCGGCACCGCCGTCTACGACCACCTCGCCGGGCTGCGCGACGCGTCGGGCGACCTCGTCGGCGCGGCGCGGCTGGTGTACGATAAGCAGATTGGGCGCGTCGTGCGCGAGCACCCAGACCTGTGGCCGGACCCGTCGCTCGGCGCCTTCTTGCGCGCGTGCGCCGCCGTGCGCACGCGCGGCTTCCACGACGCCGGTGCGGCCGGCTGCGGGCCGTACATGCTGCCGGCGAGATACAGCCGAGATTCAGCCGAGATGTGCATGCTGCCGGGAGAGCGAGGCATGCCCTGAGCCGCTGATTTGTACACGTGACCGGGTTGGAAGCGCGGCAGTGCTCTGCTGCAGGCGATCGATATGCTCAACCACGCGAGGGCTGGAACCGCCACGGCGCTGCTCGTCGAACGGCCGCCTCCGGGTGTGGTGGGTGTGGTGGTGGGCACCGAGGGCGAGAGGGCAAGCGGCGCGGGCGGCGAGGCCGGCGAGGGCGGCGAGGCCGGCGAGGGCGGCGAGGGCGGCGAGGAGCCGCTCCTCTTCTCGATGAGCGCCGAGCGGCCGATCGAGGCGGAGCGAGGGAGCGGGTGGAGGGTCCCCCTGCCGGAGCCTTGCCGGATCCCTCTTCGAGCTTCTTCCCGTAGGCTGGCGAGGAGCTCACCCACACCTACGACGCGCGCGACGAGACGCGCAGCGGCCGCTCCGGCGCCAGGGCTCGGCCACGACACGCCCGCGACCCGCCCCGCAGGCGCTCGACGATGCGCAGCTGCTGCTCTGCTACGGGTTCGTGTCCTCTCCTCGCGACGCGCCGCTGCCCGCCTCGGTCCGGCTGCCGCTCCGTCTCCTCCTCGGCGCGGCGGCCGCGACGCGCGACGGGGTCGGAGCGCAGGCCTCCTCCCCTCCCCCTCCCCCTCCTCCTCCCCGCCCCCGTCCCCCTCCCCGTCCCCCTCCCCGTCCCCCTCCCCGTCCGTCCGCGCGAACAGCGGCCGCAACCCTCCAACCTCACGCGACTTCGCCGCGCCTCCACACGCGCGCCTCTTGAGCCGGCGCCTGCGCGCCCATCTCCAGGCGGGGTGGGAGGTCGGCGCCGCGTGGGAGGCGAAGGCGGCGGCGTGCGGCCGGCTGCTCGAGCCGTACGGCGGCGAGGTGAGCGTGTCCGAGGCGGAGCCGCTGCCAGACGCGCTGCTGACAGTCGTGCAGCTGATGCTGCTGCCCGCCGACGATTTTGCCGAGCTGCTGTCGGAGAGCGGCGGAGACGGCGGCGGGGAGGGGGAGGGGGGGGAGGCGGGGCGGCCGCCTCTGCTCGACTCGACCGCGGTGGAGGAGGAGCCGCCCTTCGCCGTGCTCGTCGTCGACGCCCTGCTCGGCGCCGTGCGCGCGGCGGCGGCGCGGTACGCCCGCGGCGGCGCGGAGGGAGAGGGTGCTGCGGCGGTCAGCGAGGCGAGCCGGCGGCGGAGGAGGATGGCGGAGCAGCTTGTGGCGGCGGAGATGCGCGCCCTCAAGGCGACGCGCGCCGCGGCGGACGCGCTGATGGAGGCGGCGGAGAGGGCGTTCGCGGAGGAGGGCGAAGAGGGCGAGGAGGAGGGCGAGGAGGGCCGCGCGCGCGAGCGTGAGGATGAGGCTCATCTGTGTCCGCGAGGAGAGGCAGATCTGCTTTCTGCTGCCCCTGCGAAGCGGCCGCGGACTCAGTAGCATCGAATTGCGTGTCGTAGCGCGCGCGAAGCGGGGGGGTCAAAAGAGAAAAAGTCAAAAGAGAAAAAGTATTATCATAACTATAGAGATGACAGATATATGTGTTGTCGCCGACCACCCCCACAAAGAACCCTGCAGCTGCACAAAGACCGGGGCGGGACCTGCTCCTTTTTACCCATCTCCAGAGGGTGTCTGCTGTTCATTCATTTGCTCTACTTCTAGTTCTACTTCGTTGGCCAGCTGATTCCGTCCACGGTCGGCTCCCCCCCCACAGGTAGCCACCACAGCAACCTGCTCTTGCCAAACACCTGCTCCAAGTTGTCGACCGCGCCGACGTCGAAGCGCGTGCAATGGGGCTCGAGGGTCGTGGCGTTTCGCATCACTAACCTGCGCGTGGGGGTGTGTCGCCAGTGACCGTGGCGACATCGCGACGCGTCTCTACTGCCGCCCGAGGCACCGAAGGTGGTATCCCGCAAAGGCAAAGAGCAGCCCGCCGACGACAACGTCTACAAAGGCGGTGACGTCTGCGAACGGGAGGCATAAGTTGGACCAGAAGAGGCGACTGATGCTGCCACACATGCTCGGGCACGCCTTCAGCAGCGATATCAGAGCTTCCGCACGCTGCAAACAGCATGTAGGCGGGCGAGACGAGGAGCGTAACAGTGGCCGTGTTGCCTGCTGCTCCCTCCGCCAATTTGCTCTGCGGGAAGTGGAAGAGGATCCTGCTCGCAATCAGGGAGAGGCAGCCGCAGTAGGAGAGAAAAAGAAGGAAGCCCTTGCGGTTGTGCAGGCCAATGGGCACGCCCAGCCAGCCGCAGTAATGGTCGAAGCCCAGCACCACCTGCGGGCGGCAGCTTGGGTGGCCCTTTGGGCGAGCCATGCTCAGTCCTCCGTGCGCCCCCTAAAGTGCCCGGCTATGTGAGGAGTTGTGCGGGGCTTACCTGTCCATCCCACTCCCGAGCACGAGGCGGCAGCGGCTGCCCCGTACGCTTGTCCGCCACCCAACCGTCCAAAATTGCTGAGGGATCGACCGGACTTGGCCGTGCCCATAGCACAGTGGCGCCTGAACACAGCGCCAGCGCCAACACGGCGTGACCGACCTGGAGGATGAAGAGAGAGTGATAAATGCACAGCGCAGGCCGCGACGGGGCCAAGTGAACGTCTTCCGCATCTGTTCTGGCCAACCACAAACGTCGGGAGCGGCACCTAGGGGAGGCTAAGATAGACGTCTCCATATATGTGAGCCGTGCGGGCGGTGCGAGCTTGGACTCAAAGTCGGTTCTCACTCTCTCTCTCCATGTAAACGGCCGGTCGCCACGCGTGGGTTATGTTTTGTGTGAGCGGCGCCTTCCCCCGCCCAGCGCAAACGATGAGCCAGTAATTGAAGCTTACCAGTGCGGCGATGGCGCACTTTGCGAGCGCGGCAATCTCTCGTCGGCAGGGACGCAGGGGGCGATATGGCATCGGCGCCAACAATGCACCAAGCAGCACGAACTCGTCCGTCCATCTCATCTCGTCGTCGGCAAACACCGACGCGCTCAGACGGCGGTGTTGCCGACGAGATGAAGACCGCTGAGAGCGAGGCCATCCCTGTCGGCGAGGTAGTGGCGACCGAGCCCGTTCCGGCGGTAGTACCCGCTCAGCGGGTCTCCGCTACACTGTCCCCGGCTGGCACTCCGATATCGATGACGGGGACGCCACCCGGCGCACCTGACGGAGGTGCGTGCAATGAGCCGTCTCCCGCTCCGAGTCTGCGCCCCGCCCAGCCTATTAGTATTACTCTGTAGGCGTGTGGTCTACGGAGCAGTACTCTGGGATGGTTACGCTGATCATCTTCGCGGTGGTCTTCTTTCTCTTCACGCTGGAGTCTAGATGCACTATGCTGAACTCGTATCCCTGTACTCGCTCATGGCCCCGTCGAGGCTGGGCAGGGCGTGCACCATCATGTGTAAGTGCGTCTTCACCTCGCGTCCCTTGCTTGACCACACGCAGGCCGGCGTCTTGCGGAGCGTTCTGCTGCCCGTGCGACACCCGTGAGCGCGATCAAAAGAGAAGATGGGATCGAGAGGCAAAAGCAGCCAGGCCGCGACTTGACAGCGATGCATTCACGAGTAAGAGCTCGAAGCACAGAGCAACATACACAACGTTTTGGGACTCGGAGAGGGCTGTCTGTCACACTTCCGCAACTTCCCAAGCGTATCATGCAGTGTGCCACTTCCCACGGGTCGCGCCCCCGACGCGCACTCTCACCCACCCATCCCGCCCGCGTCCAGGTGCCGTGTACAGGGCCCCCGACGGGCGTAAGTTCACCGCCTCTGGCGCCCTGGTCCCGCCAAACGAGTGCTGTGGGTTTCCGTGCGGTGGGCCCGCCGCGTGAACGAGCGTGGCGGCGCTGGCGCTGGCGGCCGGGGGCAGCCGCGCCGGCCCGGGGGGGCGCGGCCCGCGCGCTTTTCCGCTGCGAAGCTTTGCCCCGGTCGCCATGTCACTACTGTTTTCTGTGTGGCTCTTACGGACATACCCGCCCAGAAGTGTCAAACGAACTCCACCTTTTCGATCAGCGGGCTGTCTCGCAGCGCGAGCTCGACCCCAAACTTGATCTTGTCGGGGCCGCTGTACTTGAGCTGCACGGTCGAGCCCGCCGCGCTCACAACCTCAACGCTGCCGCCCAGCCCCAGGATCGCGGGCATGATTTGCTCGAGCGCCGCGTTCGCGACAGACACGTCGAGCGCGCCGTCCGCCTCGTCGTCGTCGTCGTCGTCGTCGTCGTCATCAGGTTGGACGGCGACTACGTCGCCTGCGGGCGGTGCGGGTTTCAGCGGTGAGAGCGGCAATCGCAGCGAGGAGAGGGCGGCAGGGAGGGGCCGCGGGTGTGTGGGCGCCGAGCGAGCCAAACTTCTCGCGCAGCACGCGCTCGATGCCCATCTTCATCGTGACCGTGGACGAGGGGCAGGAGCCGCAGGCGCCTTCGAGCCGCAGGTACACGTTGCGCATCGCGGCGTCGACCGAGACGACCGCCACGTTGCCGCCATCCGCAACGAGGTAGGGCCGCACCTGTTCATGGTTGCGCGCGCGAGTGTGAGCAGACTGTCCACAGCCCAGCAGCGGCGGCGAGGGCCGAGCCTCGTTCAGGACAGAGTCGACGGCGGCGGCGGTGAGCTCGAGGCCCGACGCCGCGGCGGAGGAGGCGGCGGCGCCGCTCGCCGCCGCCTCGAACGGGCTCGCGCGCTCCCCAGGTGATGAGGACTCGACTGCAGACTGCTCCGGCTCTCCCGTCGCACTACCCATCGCGGCGCTGGCGCGCGGGCGGGCGCTGGATATGGGCGCGAAGACGGCCGATCGGAGGGCGTCGGCCCACTCCTGCGCGCGGCCGTCGTTTCCCTCGGGCGTGCGGCCTAGGCTCCGGATCCATGCCCGCTTCACCTCCTCCATCTCGCGACGAGCAGGCGACGAGAAGTCCTGAAGTCGGACGGCGCTCACGCGATCCGGCATCGCTTCGCGATGCGCCCGCAGCGAGACCGCAACGTTTCGCGACGTGCCCACGTAGAGGACCTCGCCAGCGTCGTCCTCGATGGTGTACACCGCCGCCACACTGCACCCCATGCCGAGCCGCTGCAGAGCCTCGCCAATCGGGAGGCTCGCCGCTCCGTCAAACAAAGTCTCCGGCGGCGCACACATGGCCACCGGCGGGAGGCGGTGGGCGGCAAGCCTCGCTGTCACGGCCAGCAGCGCGGGCGAAAGCAGGTGGTACACACACATCTGGCCTGCAGTCTCGCCAATTCTCGCAGTGAGACCTTTAGCCTCCTCGCCTGGTCTTCTCGTCACTGGAAAAAGAAAGAAATCGCGCCATTGTTGTTGTAAAGCGAAGTAGACTTAAAATCCCTGTGTGGTGGCGGCGTGCCGTCCTCCCATCCCTCCCTGGGGTTGTCCTTTCTTTCTTTTTAGCGAAGTAGACGCCGTCGCCAACTGTCATGTCGGTAGCCGCTCTGCACCGCTCGCTGCTGGAGCGCGGTTGATCGCGGCGCCGACGCCGCGGCGGCTCCATCTCGCGCGGCGAGAGACGGCGCTGCATCGGCGCCAAAACAAACGGGAGGTCGCGGCGCGGCCGCGGCAGCAAAAACATCGACGTTCGCTTCTGCTTCTCGTCTCGTCTCGTCTTGTCGCAGGCGCACACGCGCGCGATCCGCGTCGCTCCGCGAGGACACGACCACCGGGATTCGAACCGGCGGCATAAACGACCACCGGGATTCGAACCGGCGGCATAAGAGAGCCGGCTCGAACGCCGGCCGATCGTGCCACGGAGTCATGGAGGTCTTGTACGCTCTGCAAGACCGGCTCATGATATATGACTGGTTTTGTCCGCGGGCGCGAGGGCACTGCGGAGACGGGCGGCGGCGGCGGAGGCGGCTGCAGCAGCACACGGGCTGGCGGCGGCGCGCGGACGGTGGCGGCGGCGCGCGGACGGCGGCGGCGACGCGGCGGCACTGCTCCTCTGCTGCTGCTGATGACAATGATGCTGCTCCTGCTGCCCCTCCTGCCCGCCAGCTGCCCGCACGCTCGGTGTTATCTCTTCACCTTCACACTGTTCGAGTCATAGGTGCAGCGCGATCAGCGCTGAGCTGCTGATGGAGTGATTAATTATTAATAGTCTGTATTCCAGAATTCCGTTGGGGGGAGGTATTCAGTCGGGGGCATTAATAATCGTCGGGCGAGGGCGCGGCGCGGCGGCGGGCGGCGCGGAGCGGGGCGGCGCGACCATCTGTCCTGACCGGGGCCTCTGGTCTTTGATGCAGAACAATGGTGGCGCCGCCCTCGGGGACAGTGGTCAGTGCCGACGGGACGCGGCTCGAGAGACGACTCCCGCGAAAGCACGGCTGGCATCCGTGGCGTGGGGCTCGCCTTCGAAAAGTCGGGCATGGCTCTCCCCGCAACTCTATCGCTAACACGCGCGCACCACCGAGACTGTGGTGGGCGCGCTGCGGTCGCACGTCTACCTCCGTCATAGTGCCACGACGTGCGGCCTAGAACTAGCACACGCGCTTCTGCTCGCAAACACTCACCCAATGAATTGTCGTCACCTGTGAGTGCGAGATAGGGCTAGCAGTAGGCAGCTAGCCTCTGAGGAGGGCGTCCATAGACACCTCACTAGACCCCACACACGGTCTCGTCCGTGCCTCGCCGGCCGGAGAGATTGCTGGAGGTAGAGCAAGCCTGCTCTAGCCTCGCATGTCACTTCCTGTTGTCTGTTGTTTGTTGTGCCCTTGTTTGTTCTCTTGGCACCTTGGAGTGCTGGGGGGCGACAGGGAGGATGTGGCCTTGAGTTATGTGTACGCCTACTCAGGGTGTGTGGCAGCCCGCTGGCTGTGTGTCTTATGAGCCTGTTTGCGTCTGTGTGTCGCTCGTGTGTGTCGTCATCATCTGTCTAGCGTCCACCCATACCGCGTTGGTGTCCAGTCCGAGCCTGGCTGTTCTTCACCTTTCTACCTACCTACCTTTTGTTAGGATAACTGATCGTCTTGCAAATCCTGCTCGTGCAGGTGGGTTGTGAACAGGGTCAGGCGCAAAGCGCAGGCTGAGAGCGCGCTCCTCCTGCTGTCGTCGGACGCCGCCCTCCAGCTGGCCGGGCGGGTCGCCGTGTGGAGGGAGCAGGTGGTTCGGGTCATGGAGGCGGATGCCAAGGAGGAGAAGGCGGAGGCGAAGGCTCGGCAGAGGGAGCGCGTCGCCGCCATCCTCGCGCGCACGGACGATGCGGGCGCGGGCGCGGGGCCCGCGGGGGTGGAGGAGGCGCTCAATTGCTGGGAGGAGGGTGCGTATGAGGCGGAGATGATGGAGGCGCTCGCCGCGTGCGGCGATTGAGCGCCTCCCTCTCTCTCCGGCTGCGCGCCTGACCGGTGCGGCCTCCGAGTCGGCGTCTAGCGCGCGTGATAAGGTTTTTGCTAGCCTTCCCTGGGACCCCGTGTTGCGTGACTGTCTCTGTGCGATTCGGGCCCGGGGTTGTGCGTTTATGTGATCCTGAACCCTCTGCCGCTCCCAGCCGTGCTCGCCGAGCCTCCGCCGCCTCCACCTCGGCCTTCAATCTCAATGTCCCACCCCCCTGCGCGCGGGCCTTCTAGGCCCGCGGGTAGTCTCCCCCCATCCAGGGCCTCCAGGGCTCGCACCTCAACCTCTCACAGACCAGCGCAAAGCGCCATAGGACGTATTTTCTTGTCAATAACAAGGTCTGTGAACAGCGTCTGGGTCCCCGTGTTGCATGTCTGACTGTCACTGTGCGATTTCGACCCCCGGGGTTGTGCGTTTAAGACCAGCGCATAGTGCGTAGCACGCATTATTTTCTTCTCATAACAACACTGCTTCGGCAGCGTGCACCTCGATCCTGTACCGTGTTTGTTATGACCCCCCCCGATGAACACACCAGTGAGGGGTCCCGTACCATGCGGAATCGGCCCTATCCAGTGCTCAAGTGCTCAAGGCTGTGAACAGCGTCAGCCAACCCTGCTCGAGCCCTCCTTCTATGCGCTCTCCCTCTCGTCCTCGAATAACACGACAGGACGCCCGCTTACGCGTCCGACGCACGCCCGATATAGGCTCGCGGCCTCCAAGTCGGAGCTGCAGGCGCGCCTGAAGCGCAACCTTTACGCGATCCACGAGAAGGAGCTCACCTTCTACATCCAGAACTGCCGCGCGCTCGGCACCATCTCCGTCTTCCTCGCCATCTTTGCGAACGGCTCCTTTTACGGCCGGTACGCCGCAAACTACCGCGTGCCGGACAGCAGCTTCCTGCAGGTGTGGAACGTCTTCACGATGCTCGCGATGATGCTTGAGCTCGTCGTTGTGTGCAAGACGACGCAGCTCACCATCTTCATGCCCGGCCTCTCCCTCCGCGGGCCCGAGGGCTCGGTGTCACGCGCCGTCGGCATCATGCGCGAGGAGCACGAGAAGGTCGTTCGCTTCTTTGGCGCGGGCATCCTCTGCTTTGTCTTCTCGGCGATGTGCCAGTGCTGGATCCTCTTCGGCTTCTACGACAAGGACTACTGCGTCGCCGCGGGCGGGCGGTGGGTGGAGGACGGCGATCTACCGCTCCGCCCCGGCACACCGCGATGCGACTTTGTGCGCCCCATCCCGCCACTCACTCCGCCCTGCCTCACCATTGCATCCCTCTGCCTCACCGCCCCCCCCTGCCCGAACTCGCCGCTCGCTCGCCCGCCCCCCGGCCGCGCGCCCCCTGCGCCACGCCTCGCGCGGAAGCCCTTCTCTCCTGTCGCCCCGGTGCCGTCGCGCCCACACCGACCCAGACACCGACCCAAGCGGCGCTTTGCGACTTGCGCGCAGACGCGAGCATTGAGAGATCGAAAAGACGAGCCGCACTCCTCTCTCGCTCTACCCCAAACGCCCCCCCCACCCGCCACCCCCCCCCCCCCCCCGATTCCCACAGAACGCGACCCCCCCGAGCAGCCCCCCCTCGAGCGAGGCGGAGTGCCCCGGCTGGCAGGTCCTTTTGCTTTAATCTCACGCCCCCCACAACAAACACGCCACGACTCACAGCACACGCCACGACTCCCACAAACTCCACTCTCTCTCGCCCACCCCCCCCACACACACACAACGGCGCGGCTGCATATGGACGAATCGCCCCCCCTCTTCCCTAGAGCGCCAATCCGCCCTTTCTTTGCAGGTGGTCTGCGACCTCTGGGGCAGGGGATACTCGACCGACCAATACCTCGCACTACCGCTAATCGGCCTGCTCGGCCTGAGCCTCGTCGCCATGGCGCACGTTACCTGCCGCCTGAGGAGAGAGGTGCCGCCGCCGCGAAGGCACCCGAACGAGGACAGGGGGGGCGGCGGCGTGCGGCGGAGTGGCTAGATAGAACGCGAGACGCGTGGTGGGCAGCGGTGTTTTCTTTCTCCATGTGGTTCTTCGCGCGAGTAAGAAAGAAAGCAGACACAAGGGAGGGATGGGAGCCGGAGACTTCATTGAATTCTTCTCGTCAGCGCTCTCGCCTCTGGGCTCGGCTGCGGCGGGTGGAGCAGGCGGTTCAAGGCTTGCCGTCGGAGAAGAGGGCGGCGCTGGAGGCACGTCCTCCCAGGACGGTCCAGTACGCGAGCGCAGAGCGAGCCAGGAAAGGAGCGGCCCCGATTACGATGAATCCGATGGTTATGGGGCCCATGATGGCCAACTCGGGCGGCCTCGACTTTCTCGACGACTTTCTCGGGCTATTCGACACCGAATGTGAGCAGCGCCAGCGGCCCCACGCCCGTGCGCACCGGCGCGCCGCCGCTGGTGGAAGTGGACGCCGCCCCACCGCTAGGGCCCTTCCTGCTCGCCATCGTCGTGTGCTCCTTCTCCTTTCTCGGGCTGACCATCTCCTCTCTCATCCTCACCGTGTCGTTTGTACCGACACACTGGTCCATGAAGGTCATCTGGACCTGCTCGCTGCTCGCGCTGGCGCCGCGACAACAACCGCCGCCGCTCGCTTCGCAGCCGCCACGTACCCACTCACCCGCCCCGAATTGAACAGGTGGCCTCCGGGATCTTCCTGGTCGAGCCACGCCCCTCGCACTGGCTCGCCACATTTGGGCAGGTGCGCCACTTCCTGTGGCGCGCGTCGGGCGGGGAGCTTCGACGCCGCCTCCGCCGCTGGTGGCGCTGGCGGAAAAAGTATGCCATGAAGACAAAGCTGAACGTGTGAGAGAGGCCGCTCCTCTCCCTCCGTCTGCACACCGCACGCTTTCGTACAGTGTGGTCTCAGGCATCGAGTCTCGCCATGTACACGGTAGTCCCCAGCCTCCTCCACTGCATATCCCTGGAACAGTGGAGCGGCTCAAGCGTCACACCCTGTCGAGGCTCGAGCGTCGTCTCAGGAGACTCAGCCCTCAGCGGCCCCGCCCCTCGCCTGTGTTATGAATCTGTGGTTCTCTCTCCATTCTCTATATCCCCTCGTAGCTCGTTTTCGTTCTTATCTCAGCTATAACTAGCAAAATGGCGAGCGAAAGGCCTCAGCTTCGTTCAAGGGGCAAGAACAACGAGATATCGGGCAGTCCCGCCCCACACACAAAAGCTCTAGCTCTGCGACTTGTCGCGCACGGCAGATCGGACCCAGCGCGCCGCAGACGGAGAGAGCCCGCGAGACCCAACCGCGTGCATGCACAGATCTCATGCCAGGGAAGGGGGTATGGGAGAGGTGGGAGCAGCACATGTCTCACATGGGGAGAAGTCGAGGTCCATGGGGGTGTGGGGGGTGTGGGGGGAACATGCGGAAGCATGGGGTAGCTCGTCGCCTCCTCCCGCACCCTCACGGCGTCTCATCCGAAGAGACGCCCTGCGCGAGCAGCGCGCTCAAATCGTCGCCCTCGTCGTGGGGCGCCCGGCTCAGGTCGAGCGCCTGCTGCACGCATGGCAGAGAGAGCGACGCGCTCCTCCGCTCGTGCTGCAGCTCGCGCTGCCGCTGCCGCTGCAGTCGCAGCTGCCTCGCATAGGCGCCTAGGGGGAAGAGTGGGACGATCCGTCAGAGAGAGGACAGGACAGCTCCGCGAAGCCGACGCGCAGAGGCGCCGGGGCCCTGCGGCGAGCCCTCGCCGCCGCGCAGCCCGCCGCCGCGCACCCCGCCGCCGGCCGCGCCGCCGAGCCGCATCCCCGCCGGGTCGGACCTGCCCGCCTGCGCCGCGATCGCGCTCGACTGCATCGACGCCTCGGTGCCGCAGTGCCACGACTGCGCGTTGCGCCGCATGGAGCCCGCCCCCCTCTGCCGCTCCGCGGGCGGACGCGCCTGCGGGAAGGGTCCGAGAAGGCTCGGGCAAGCTTCCACGACGGACCCCCCCCCACCCCTTCCCGCGGGCGGACGGCGCCGGCGAGGCGAGCAGCGCATCGAGCTCGGGCTCGCGCCTGGAGGAGAGGCGGGCGAGGCTGAGGTCGAGGCTGAGGCCGAGGTCGGGCCAGCGACACACGCCCTCCTCAGATCGGCTACTCTCGGCGCATCCCGGCGCATCTCGGCGCATCTCGGCGCATCCCGGCGCATCTCGGCGGTCCCGCACCCGCCGTGCTCCTCCCAGTAGCGGATGAGCGGCTGTGGTGGCGGCGGCACTGCGCCGTCCACGTCCCACACAAGCTTGAGGTGCGGCACCTGCGGGAGACGCGGCGAGGTTGCGGCGAGGCGGGAGCCTCACGTCCGGGCACATCATCGGCACGTCTGGGCACGTCTGGGCACGTCTGGGCACGTCTGGGCGCGTCTGGGCGCGCCTCCGGCGTGAGCCTCTTGACCCGCTCCTTGCTGTAGCCGAGCGGGTGAGAGACGTACCGCACGCCGTCGAGCGAGAAGTCCTTTGGGCGGTGGCTGTGCCTATGTGGTGGGCCGTGTCGCGGGCCGTGTCGCGGACCGAATGGGTGCCGCGGGCGTGTCGTCCCGCCCCTTTGGTGATGGGCGCGCCCGAATGCGTGCACGTGACAGACGCCGTCGGGCGGCCGCTGCACGCCCGCCGTGAGCCGGCGGAGCTGCTCGTCGATGAGGCGCGAGCCTGAGGGAAGGTTCCGGGACGTGTCTCGGACGGGGCCGGGCCGGGGCTGGGAAGAGGCCGATCGTCGTCGAGCCTGCGACGCGCGAGAAGTTGACTGCGGTCCCTCCGGCGGGGTGTGAGACCCAGTCGGGAGAGAAGGAGAGGCCGGCGGGGTCGAGCCAGTCCGGCAGCGTCTGCTCGCGCGGGAGAAAGTGCGAGAAGGAGAGCACCGCGTCGCCGACCGCTCCGCAGAGCGCCTCGTTGACCTCCCGGACCGAGGGCTCGTTCCTCTCCGCGAGCTTGCACGCCACGCCCGCCGGGTAGTGGCCCGTCATCGTGTCCGACGGCCGCAGCAGCGCGGCCGGCCACTTGCAGAGCGCAAAGTCCGACCACGTGAAGGCGCGCATGTCGCCGGCGCGGTGGATGAGCGACGGAGTGAAGTGGGTGAGGTCGAGCGAGTCGTCGTACCACGAGGCGAGAGGCACGACCCACAGGCCCTGCCCGGGCTTGTGCGCCCCCGACCCGTCCCCTCTCAGCAGCCGCGGCGTCGAGTGCACGTTGCCCATCCGGTCGCAGAGCCGGTCGATGGCGTCGAGCTTTGCGAGCGAGTCCATGCCGCCGTCGTTGCGCGTGATCCAGAGGTCGTGGTTGCCCGCTGTGAAGAAGACGTGGGCGAAGCGCTCCGAGAAGGCGCGCAGCGTCGCCTCCAGCTGCTCCATCTGGTGCGACACGTCTCCCGCCACGACGACCGCATCGCCCGGGTGCTGCGGTAGCGAGCGGAGCCACGCCATGTTCTCGGCCCGGTCGGTGTGCACGTCCGAGGTGAGCCACACCCTGGGGTACACGCGCTGCTCGGCCGGCGGCTCCTGTCCGCCCGACTCAAAATAGTACACCGCCTCCTCCTCTGTCCAGGAAAGCATGTGATTCGCGACCGGCAAGTCGTCCGCCATGCAGTCGGCCTGCAGCTCGGCCAGCCGCTCGCACGACGCCACCCTGCGCGACAGCGGCATCGCCGCCGCCGCCGGGGCGCCTCGACGCGCGCTGCTCGAGTCCTGCCGCTCTGCAGCACGCCGCCCACACAGCGACCGGACCAACGCGCTTGGCCCCCTGGATCGAAGGGGGTCGACTCCTTGAGGTGCGTGAAGTCAACTTGGCACGACCGACCGCGTCGCTACGCGCTGTCTTCCGCTGTCGAAGGTAGTCGAGTGCCTCCTGAACGTGTGACCCTGTTGTCAGGCATGTCTCTTGTCTGGTTGTCACACTGCGATTTCGGGCTGTTTGCTTTTACGTGAAGGTGGGTGGTACTCGAGTAAAGGGTGTGGATGCTGGGTTGACGGAAATCGAGGGACGCGACCCACCTCGCCACAGACGGTCCCGCGCCTCGCCGCTAAGTTTGCGGCACGCCCCGCACCGTCCGCTGTGCCGCGTTTTTTGTCCGGAGTGAAAAGTCCAACGCGCTCGTCGGTGGCGGCTTCCCTCAACCTGCGCCGCGCTCGGCGAACCTCGACAGCGCCTTCGGTGGCATGCAGCTCTTTGTGACAGAAGCCTGGAGAGCAGCTCCTCTGCTGCTCACACACTCTGCACAGTTGACACAGCCTACTGTGCGGCTGCCACAGCTGTGACAGCGATGGGCTCGCCCTCACTGGCCCTCAGTCACTTGTGCTGCGGCTTGTGTGAGCGACACTGCTCGGCGACTGCCGGCACACTGTGAGACCATGAGTGTGAGGTAAAACCACGCTACCAGCGCTTGGTCACATCGGCCCCGAGGTCAGATCCATCTACTCTGTTGATGACAAGACTTGTCTACCGGCTGGAGCTGAGCAGGAGGGCCCGGCGCACAACCCCTTGGTCAACTCACCCTCCACACCCCGTACCCGCGTCGAGAGGGGTGGCGTGCCTGTGCGCCACGTACTCACCGAGCATTATAGGTTATAGCCTTCCATATCGAACAGAGACGAGAGAGAGGAGCTTAGAGACAAGAGAGGACTACACCCCAAGGCTGACCGTGACCCTGGACCGCTGACGCTAAGTGTAAGCCTTATAACCCTCTTATACGCGTCGACTTAGTGGTCTTGACGTGAGGACCCCGCGTAGCGGCGCGCACACACACGTGAGAGAGAGACATCACGCGAGCCGCAGCGCTCTCACACACCTCCGCGTCCGACTCCGCGACTGTCCGTGGCTCCGTCTCGTGTCCGTGCGCCCCCCGAGGGCAGCGTCCAGGGTCCAGCGAGCTCTCTCTAGAGACTCTACAGAGACTACAGCCACGGCTCTGGTGGGCTCTCAGACCCCGTACAGCCCCGCTGCGCATTGCGCAACGGCGTACACAGCTATACAGAGACACCGGCGGACGGACTCACGGACATGGCAGCGACATGCTCCCCAAACCCACGGCTTTCAGAACCACCCCCACTCTCACCACTCGACATAACCGTCCAGTGCAGCAGTCGGGTCCGGGCCCCGCGCCGTTGCGAGACCACGACTCGTCCTCAGCCCGACCCGTGTACCGCCGGCTTATTGGCGCAGCCCCAGGGGGGCAAGCCCCTCGCGCACCCGACCTCAGACACCGAGAGGGAGGGCGAGGCGGGGGAGGCGCTGCGGGCACCGCAAGGCGAACGAGTCGTCTAGTACCCGTCATCATCATAGTACGGCTCCCGCGGAGCGCCCTCGACAAAGTCGCCTCCCGGGCCCGTCACCTCGATCGCCTGCGGGCGGTGCGCGCGGCGGGAATTGGGGCGGCGGCGCTCGAGGCGGCGTGGGGTGGGCGGCGGCTGGGCGGGCGGCGTGTGCGGGTGAGTGCTGCCGGACCACCTTAAGCTTGTTCGTCTTTGCGTCGCGCGAGACCTTAAACTCGAGCGCCTCGCCCTCCGCGAGCGAGCGGAAGCCCTTGGCCTTGATGTCGGTCTGGTGCACAAACAGGTCCTGTTCTTGGTTCTCAACGTCGATGAAGCCAAAGCCCTTTTGCACGTCAAACCACTTGCACTTGCCTGAGGGCGCGGGCTCGGGATCGGCCACGCGCGTCGCTGTGTTTGGCCGCCCCTGCGACGGTCGAGGCCTAGTGTGGGCCCGGGGTGACGGTTTGGCGTGTGCAGCCTCATTATCTCCCGCCGCGCTCACCGACTCCCGTGTCTCCCTCCTCCATCGACATCGCCGGGCTGCATCTGCTCGCGACCACGGCGCGAGGTCGCGCGCCGGCGGCCTGCAGGACCAGGCACGAAACCTGGCAGGCGGACGCGAGCAACAAAGCGATCGTGGCACGCGGCGGCATTCTGAGATCGCGGGAAAAGAATAACGCTGGCTGCCGACCTGCACTCCAAGTGCTCCAAGTGCTGCTTGGTGGATGTGCGGTTGCTGACTGCACTCCAAGTGCTCCAAGTGCGCTCAGCGCAGCTGGGAAGAGGACCGCCGCAAGCGGCGTGGCGTGGAGCGGTTGAGCATCCCTCCGGGGGCCCCTCTGCGCCGGGGAGGCGTTGTTGGAGGCTAGGACGCAAGCGTCCGTCGCCCTTTTCAAACTCGGGGCCCACTCCGCTACGCTCCGACCCGAATTTGGAGGGCCTGAAAAGTTTAAGGTGTTGCTGCGCAAAAGGGTGGGGAGCCGCGGCGGCGCCGCAGCGCGCAGGCGCGGGCGCGCAGTGGAAGCACGCTAGCCATACATGTTCACGCAGAGAAGCTGACGGTCGGGGTCGTGACGGCTCGAGGGTGCGCACACTCTAGCGGCCGGACACCTCACCCGCGGACGCCTCACCCGCACGCGCACCCTCCAACATCGCCGCCGAGCCCAACGCCCTGCCGTCAATCTCGACGAGCGCCGCACACCTGCGCGGACAGTGGGCAGACGTTGCCGCCTTGTGTCCTCGTGTGCCCGGAAAGCCTCGAGCCGGCGCACACCGGTGGCAGCGCAGGAGGAGGCGGCAGCAGTGGAGGGTTTCTGCACGGTATTCGGATTTTGCTATTTGTTCGTGTGGGGGTATATTGCAGATTTGTCAATGGTACCGCGTCTGCGAAGCGGGCGCCTTGCGGGCAGAGCCCTAGCTTAGCCACCCTTCATATCTTGCGCGGTCATTAAACTCATGTGGAGCTCCCTCCGGCTCCGCAGGGTGGCTCGGATACAGACATGGGTGCGAAACAACGACAAGACCAAGGCACGGGCAGAGGAACGAGAGAAGAGTATAGGGTGGATAAAGCGCCTGTTCACGGCATGGAGGGTGAGCCACGCCGAACGTACCGAGCGTAGAGCCGAGCGGAAGGAAGCCGGGGAAGACGACTCCGAGGAGGACGAACCAGTGGAAATCCCGTTGCCAGCCGTCACGATGCACCCGAAGGGGACCCCAGCGCCGGCATCATCCGTGAAGGCACAAGTGTTCGAAGAGAGAGTGGACCTGAGCAATGATATGACTGGGCGGCAAATGATAGCAGTGGGCGTCAGAAGACTCGTCCTTGCTCGAGGAGAGCTCGATAGACTCGAGGGGCCAGGATATGCAGCGAGGAGGGCGGAGCTGCGCCGAAAGGCGCAAGAAGCCGCGAGAACAAGGGACCGGCAGGCGGCGGCGGCGTCGCAGAACGAGGCAGAGGAGAGCGACACGCGACAGAGGAAGAAGTGACAAGGGAAAGAACGACGAGAGTGGGACGGCCGCGAGGTGGCATGAAGGTTGCAGCGAGAATCGGCGAGAGACTGCGAAGAGAGATAGGAAGAGGCGGACGCCCAAGGGTGGGCGACGGCTAGCGCATCAGCCATCACACCCCTCTCCTTAAAATCCCTGTGTGGTGGCGGCGTGCCGTCCTCCCATCCCTCCCTTGGGTTGTACGTTTTCTTTCTTTTCTTTTCTAGGGTGGCTCGGCGGTCGGGGCTTTAGTTCTTCTCTCGCGGGCGGTGGAGCGCACGCACAGCGGCGCGCGCCGACGAACGAAGGCGGGGAGGGGGCACGCGCCGTTGTGCTTGTGCATGGCGCATGGCTTACGGTGTTACGCACGAGACCTCGACGCCGCGCGGACGCCCGCTCCGGCGCGGGCGGAGGTCCCTGTTGTGTCCACACCGACATGTACACATGTACATGTGATCCGCCCAGGTCGCCGACTCTCGAGCCTCGTCGCCACGGCGCACGGGATCGTCGGGATTCGAGAGAGAGAGATTTTAGAAAACCAACAAAGGCTGGCTGACTCGCCAGAGGTCGATACTCTGGACGACCCATAGGATGCCACGAATGCCTGAAGGAGAGGGAGGCGAGGCCAGAGGCAGGCTCAGCTGCTCTCGGGTGATCTCGCTTTGGTGGCTGAAGGACCCGATGGCCCTGTCACATTCGCGTTCCGAGTCGTGGGGGTAGAAGAATTCGAGGTAGAATCGAGTCAGCACTTCCTTGTACCTTCTCCTGGGAAAGTTATTTAGTACGACCCCGGTTTCGGATATCGGCGAACGATCGGAAGGGTGCCGCCTGCACACAAATGGAGTCCAGCGATGTGGGACCTCAGTCCCAGAAGCTTGGAGCTTCAGGCCGCGACCACGTGGCTAGGTGGACACTAAAGTGCCATTTTGGCGCCAAATCTTGGCGCGAAATGACACGTGGCTTGGCGGGAGTGTGGTGTGGCTGCGCTGCTCGACAGCGCTGCTGTTGAGCGCCAGCTGCTGCTCCCTCAGCCAGACGGCCGGACCTGCGCAGCACGACCGCTGGCCTTCCTCCTGCACCACAGGAGCGCGCCAAGGCGCGCGTCTGGGCAAGCAGTGCGTCTCATCGCGATGCGAGAGTCGACGCTGTGACGCCGCCGCTCGCCGGCTAGAATGACAGTGGCAGCATTCGAGTACGCGTCGAGCTGTGCGTACCAGCACTTGTATGCGAGCTCATTGTGTCCCTGAGCTGCTGTGGGGTGCGTGGGGTCAGCTGCGGAGCACGTACTGGGCGGCGGTAGGGGGGTGCTCCTAAATAACTTTCCCAGGAGAAGGTAGTACAGCGGACCGCCAGACTCGCCGGCAGCATCCGCAGGGAGGCAGCATATGAGGCACCAGTCTTCTGGAGAGCTCAACAGCTGCGGCCGCGATGGCGGAAAGTCGGCCGCGGTTCGAGCGAGCAGCTTTCTCGGGATTCGTCGTGACATATCACATAAGAAACAAGCAGAAAAGCATGTGCCGCGTGTGTGCATATACAAAGACGTCCGCCTTCACGCACTACACACAAACGACCTCTCGTCGCGACATCGGCCCGAGTGAAAGCCCCTGCTCTCCCCTCACGCGAGCACCAAATCGGCCGTGCCCTCCTTGGCGGCGTTGATGAGGAGGTAGCCGACGCTCCGGAACGGCGCCCACGAGGCGGTCTTGTCCTAGCGATCGCGCTCGGCAGCCACCTTGGTGTCGTCTCATGTGGTCATCGTGCTCCGCGAGGTGCGCGAGCGCGCTTCGGAGCGCCTCTTCGGTGAGCAGAGCTTCGCCGGGGCCACCGACATACTCGTGCATGGCTGGCTTCTTGGCCTTGGCGGCCTCGTCGCGCGGCCGCTTGCGCGAGGCCGAGGCGTCCATCGATCTCGGCGGCATCGGCGGCGCGATCGTTCTCGCTGCTGCAGGCGCCTTGTTTTTGTCTTGCCGTTGTGACCTATTGTTGTCGAGAAGCCGGTCAGCCGCTTCACCCCCGCAGCTGGCCGCCGCAGGCAAAGAATTCTTTCCTGACGCGCCTCTTCTCCCGCGAGCTGGCACATGACAACGCCACGCACCCGAGGAGGTGCTCTCGCAGCCAAGGTCGCCGAAGTCCAGTCAGCGCTCGTCGACGCTCATGCCGCGCCGTGCCCTCGCGAGATCTCCGCGCTCCTGTGTGCGTACGACGGCTCGGTCCCTGCAGTGGTGGACGTCCTCAAAAACGTCGAGGGCTCGTCGGCTCTTGCGGCTGGCTCTGCCGAGGGAGCCTCGTCGAGCTTTGCGCGCGCTGGGCCGGTCGTGAAAGCTGTCTCGCCGAAGACGGTGGCCTCGGCCCGTGGCGAGGCCCCGCTCTCCTCGCTGTCGGGCTCTCGGGCCAACGGGAAGCGCAAGATGGAGCGCGGCGGCGGCGCTGGCGGCAAGCGGCTCGCGGCGCTCTCCGCGGCGCTGGCCGAGTCGCCAGAGCCGGTCAGCGCGCCAGACGCTCCCGACGGGGCGCCCCTTCTCGACGACGGCGTCACGCTCGACGAAACCCTCTGTTCCATCACGGATTTCCGCGCGTTGCCGGCATCGTTTTGGGACCGTCTGCACAAGGAGCATGCAAACCACCCTCACTCCGGAGGCTGGACAGCCGTGTATCAGCAGGAGTGGCCGTACAGCGGCTATCCGTACGACGCCGTCTACGACGTTCTGCTCGACCCTGCGACCGGCTGGCAGCGAGCACGACGTGTGCGGCCTTGCCTCACCGGCGTGCAGGAGTGGGCCGCCTCGTGCACCTCGTCGGCACTTTCAGTCCACATCAACGACCTCGACGCATCCCTCGCTGAGATGCTCGAACACGGCTTCATGCAAAGCGAGACCGTGGACGCCATCAAGTCGGCAGTCGCTGAGGACCAGGAGCTCCTGCGAGGCCGCGACCCACCCTTCTCCATCCGGAGGCTGCACTTCGACGTGCACGAGCTCGAGCTGACGTGGCCGCCCGAGGTCGCGGGCACCACGCGCCGCCTCGCAACGGCTCGCAATCGTACCCAATCGTACATCCACCACATCGCCGACATTGCTCACGAGGACTCGACCGGCGTCGGAGTCGAGCCCGTTCCGTACGACGTTCGCTCCTCGATGGCAATCGAGGTACTCGCGGACTCCTCCGCTCTTCGTCCGGAACGCATCGAGTTTCGCCACCCGTGCGTCCGGACGATGGCCCTCCCGTTTGGTTCATACGAGTGCGACTTGCCACTCCGCGAGGCCTTCGGAAGCAACGCCGATGCTCACGTCTGGGCCGCAAATGTCTCGTCGCTGATCGGCGGGCTGTGCGACGAGCCCTGGGAGAGCACCGGCGCGTGGGAGTCGAGGTTCCGAAACCCGGAAATCGTCTTCAAGGGGGCTGTGGAGCTCGACCGCGTCGTCACGGCGGGACGGGCGGCGGGCGCCCTGCGCGTGCTCCTCTCTCGCCCCCTCACCTTCGCTACGCGGGTCGAGGTGAAGAAGTGCACGCGCCGCCGGCTCAGCGTTCGCGTTGCCGTCGAGCTGCGCCCCCTCGCCTTCGTCCCCTCCGCCAGCGGCAGCACGCTGCCGATCGACGACTTGAGCGCTGTCCTGCGGTCCGTCATGTCGCGCGAGCCGCCGCGTCTGGTCGACCAGCGCCTCGAGGACGCGATCTACATCGACGAGCGTGCGGACGGCGCGGTTTCAGGCAACGCTCGGCAGGGCGACTACGCGAACCGCATCATGGCTGCTCTCGAGGCGGTCTCGGCGGTGGCGCTGAAGGCGGACGAGGACGAGCTCGAGCTGCCGGGTCTCGGCGTGCAGCTGCGCCCTTTCCAGAGCTTCAGCGTCAAGTGGATGCTCGCGAAGGAGCGTCTGCCAGAGGACCTTGTCGCCGTGCATCCCGAGCTGTGGTACGGGCGTGGCTGCTTCCACCTCTGGCCGCCGGCGCGGGGCGGGTGCCTCTTCCACGAGATGGGCCTCGGTCCGCGTCGTGCTGCCAGGAGAATATCCGGGACATGTCCAGGACACCTCCGTGCCATGTCCGATAGGCAAGACGGTCCAGACGATCGCGCTCTGCCTCGCCAGCCCACGGCCGGCAAACGCGCCCGGCACCCTCGTGCTCTGTCCTGTCAGCCTCCTGGCGAATTGGGGGGTGCGCGAGGACACAGCTCTGCCCCACCCCCCTGGCCGCAGCGGGCACATCTTCCTGACCCCTTTCCCTCAACCCCCGGCAGGTGGAGCTCAGCAAGTGCCTGCCGGCCGAGTCGCGCCACCTCATCCTCGACTCAATCGGAAAGAAGAAGTTCAAGACCAATCCCGACGGGCTCGCTGACTACGACATCGTGCTCTCCTCGTACTCCCTCCTCAAGGGCTCGCCCGTGCTGCAGCTGCGCTGGCACCGGCTGGCGCCAGACCACCCGTGGCTTCTCTTTGCTTGTCCGCGACATGTCCGCGCGACATGTCCTCGATGTGTCCAACAGGTGCTCGACGAGTCGCACGAGGGCATCAAGAACCCGCGGTCGGTGCAGTCCCAGCTGGTGCAGCAAATCAAGGCGTCGCGCCGGTGGTGCCTCTCCGGCTCTCCCTGCCCGCTCGGGCCAGGCGACTTGGCTGGCCAGATGTCTGCGCTGCAGATGCCAGCCTACGGCATCCCGTCGGTCTTCTCCGCACGGCTCGACCCTCTGCACAACGGCAAGTGGGTGGCGAACGGCCGGGCAGGGTCGTCAAAGTGCTTCGCTTCGGAGCAGCCTCTCCTCAAGTTCCTCTGCAGCTGCGCTCTGCGCCTCAAGAAGGACTCGGTGATCGCGGAGGACGGGCAGCCCATCGTCTCGCTGCCGCCCCTCACCCGCGAGATCCGGCTGCTCGACGCCTCGCCCACCGACGCGGCCTCGTACTCGCGCTTCCACGCGCAGGTGCGCGAGCGGGTGGAGACGCTCTCCCGGGGCGGCTCGCTCGGCGTCCGCCGCGGCTCCCTCGCCTCCATGCTCCTATCGCTCCGGATGGCGTGCGATCACCCGAGCCTCGCACTCGCGGCGGGCGAGCGGCTGCGAGAGCAGCAGGCGCAGGCGCGCACCGCAGCAAGCGACGCGGGCGTTCGCGCGGCGACCCCCGCGGAGGTGCTGGCCGAGGCCAAGGGCTCACCCAAGAAGGTGGAGTGGCTCGAGGGGCTGCTTGCGCCGTACCAGGACACGGCGGCCAACGGTGTGCCGGAGTGCTCAATCTGCTTGGACGAGAACCTGACGCCCGCCCTCACGTCCTGCGACCAGCCGCACGCCTTCTGCCTCTCCTGCATCCTCGAGTGCTGCAAGCAAAACATCTACGGCGATCACAAGTACCGCTGCCCCCTCTGCCGCACGCAGTGCGCTCTCTCCTCGCTGGTCCGGCTCGAGCTCGCGGCGCCTGCAGCTGACTGCCCGATGGCGGACGCCGACGCCGACGAGACCGAATCGGCGGCCGAGGAGGAGGAGGAGGTTGCTGCACGATGCCGCAGCACCAAGCTCGACGCCCTCGTCGCGGCGCTCCGCGAGAAGCCGGAGGAAAAATCGCTCGTCTTCACACACTTTGGAGCGACGCAGAAGCTCGTGTGCGAGCGGCTCTTCGCCGAGGAGATCGCCTTTGTGAAGATCGCCTCCAACGCGACGCAGCCGCAGCGGGCGAAGGCGCTGCACGCCTTCACCTCCAACCCGGACGCTCGCGTCTTTGTCCTCTCGATGCGCGCGGTCAGAGCAGCGGCGCCGCTGTCCCGCCCCTGCCCACTGCGTCTGGTTTGAGGTGCGCTTGTCTGGCCCATAGGCGTCGCACGGGCTCACGCTCACCAGCGCAAGCCGCGTCATTCTGCTCGAGCCGGGGACCAGCCTCGCCGAGGAGGCGCAAGCCATCGGACGGTGCGGACCCACCTCGCCTCTTGCTTGCCGCCGCCACCGCCAATAGCGGAGGGTTGTCCGACCGCCCGCTTCATCCCCCTCTTTCCGCCTCCCGTGTGTGCGCAGGGCCCACCGTTTTGGTCAGCAGCGGCCTGTCCACGTCATCAAGCTCGCCGTCAAGGACACCGTCGAGGCGAAGATCATCAACGAGATCCACGGCCCGAGCGACGCCGGCCCGAGTGACGCTGGCCCAAGCAGCGCGGGCGGCGACGAATCGAGGCCCAGCGCGACGGCGCAGCAGGCGCTCAGCGTCGACATGATCTCCCGCCTGCTCGGATGAGCACGCGCCACGCCTCTCTCTGTCAGAAGGGAACGCCCCTCCGCCGGCACATGCGACCGCCGCGTGGGAGAGACGTGCTCGACACTCACGGTGCGTGGCAACCGTGGCAACCATACCGGTTACCGTGACGCCCGACGGACAGTGTCAGGGCGAGTCAGGAGCCACGGCGGCGCCAGCATGTGGGCTGCGCGAGTGCGAGAGGAAAGTGGTTGGGTGTATGGAGTTTCCACGAAGTGCTAACCAAAGCGCCCAAACACACTAGGGCAAGCTCAACCCGCACGTGGATATTGGAGCGGCCGCACACTGCTCGGTACCCCCCCTGCACACCTAAGCCCATGGCCCGACCCCCCTCCCCCCAGCAGCAGCGCTCTGCTGCTGGGGGGGTCAGACCCCCCCCCCTAGCAGCAGAGCTCTGGACTGCCTGTGGGGGGGGCTGGCATCTCTGTGCAGACAGCTGTATTGCAATAAGTAGCATGCGTTCCAAGTGGCGAGAATTTATATGAGGAACTTACTTCGGGCGAAGGGGACGCGCTCGAGGCCGAGCTCGACGCGCTAGATGCTTGCTTACTTATCAGACAGAGAGACTCGTCAGCAGCCGGCGAGTGCGTGCGCGTGCAGCCCCGCAGATCGCGTGCAACAGCAGCAGACTCGTGTTGTCGATGATGACAGACGAGCTCATAATATATTAGAATTACGAAGTAAATTAATTTATTAGTGATTTTTACGTTGCGTGCTCGGCGCTGTCGTGGGCGGTGTGCACGTCCGACCGGACCGTGCGCACGCCCATGACGTCCAACAGCTCGCGGCGCGTCCCGCGGCGGGGCAGGACTCAGTCAGTCAATGAGATGAGTCTCCCCTTCAGCGAGTGCCTGTGCGGATGCCTGGGCGAGAGTGGCGGTACCAAGTACGATCGCGGCTATGAAACCAACCAACCAGTCCGCTCCCTGCTGCGGTGGTCGGGAACGGCCTTCGCCGCTCTGCTGCTGGCGGAGACTCGAGTCTCCCCTGAGCCTCTGCGGACTCTCATTATAGGTCTTCCCGCTCGTGCTGAGGCGTGTCGAGATCTACTTCTTCATCGGTCTGCACGTGCTGCTCGTGCTGCTGAAGGACGAGCTCGATGTTATCATCTGGGAGGGATCGCTATCCTCACTTGCGGGCGGCACCGCGCTCATGGCCTTCCTCCTCGTCTTTTACAATGGACAATGCTACTCGCGCTTCATCGGCTTTTACGAGGCCTGCACGGGCATGATGGGCGCGTCGCAGGAGCTTGTTGAGCTGATCGCGGTCCACCTCGCAGAACAGCCGGTGGCAAAGTGGGACGCTGTCCGCTACCTGATCGCCTCCGTCCTCTTGACCTACTACAGTGCCATGGGCACCATGGACCGCGGCTGGGAGGAGCTGCAGCGGCCAAAGAGCATAGGCGAAGGAGGCGGCGAGCTCGTCTGCCCGCCGCTCCTGACGGCGCACGAGGCATCGCTGCTGCAGCAGTTTGGCAACGCCTTCGTGCCACTGCACGCGTGGACCGTACACGCGCTGCACGTCGGGTTTGCTCAGGAAGCGCGCCTGAGGCCCAGCCCCGCGACCGGCTCCGCCGCGCTGTCTGAGGCCGCCGACTGCGTGCTGCGCGTGCGCCGAGCAATCGCCTACATAAAAAACACGCTCGCAATGCCCATCCCGTTCATCTACTTCCACACCCTCAACTTGATCATGTACTCAATGTACACGATCTTTGCGTTCGCCTTCACCTCGCTCAAGGTGCGTCTCCGTCCTGACGATGTCTTGGCACGCGACACTGACTCTGCAGTTCCATGTTTGCGATAGGTGACCGTCTCCGTCCTGATGATGGTTCTGGCAGTTTTCGTCTTCACGTCGCTGCGTGAGATCTCCTGCGCCTTCTCGGACCCCTTCGGCGACGACGATGTGGACTTTCCTGTCGAGAACTACATGGACGACGTGCGTTCCCTCTTCGCCAAGCTCCTCGGCGTCGCCACTAAGGGTGGCGGCGGCGGCCCGGACTATGAGGTCTCGCGAGTCTCCTCCACCCCCGAGCAGCAGCTCCGAGGCCTACACTTTGCCGCCCACGCCCCGAGGGCGTTCCGACACGGCAGCTGCCTTGAGCTGCCACCCTTGCTGCGCTTGACCACCGAGAGCAAAGGGGACGAGCCGCGATCTCCCCGGGACGAGCCGCCGACGCTAATGATGCCGCAATCGCCTACAGCGGCGTCGGCCGTCACGCATCTACCGTTGACATCTGCAGCGCGACACGAGTCCGCGCCCACCGTCTTGTTGCCACCAGCAACCGCGGCGTCACCGCCGCCACCGCCGCCCCAGGCGCAGTTCCCAGCTCCCTCAAGTCGATACCGTGACGGATCCCAAGAGGGCAGGGAGCGGAGCCGTCGGGAAGAGCCACCCGTCGCAGGTCCCGCCGCGCCGGGTGATCTTGCTAGTGAGGTGGCGAGGGCGGCACAGCGCCGCCAGCAGCGCCTGAAGGAGCTGGAAGAGCGCACTGGGAATGAGGCACACCAGTCGGGAAGCAGCCTGGATGCATGAGCGGGGTATCGGCTCCTAAAGCAGAGTACACAGCGTTTTGAAAAACCAACATGTCCTACATCTAAGCTAAAGACCATTCTAGTCGCGTAGTTCTGCCACGAGCGGCATCTGCTCTCGGGAGAGGTCTCGCGCTATTGCGTAGATGTGATCTGAAAATGTCGAGCCGGCACTCAGCACAAGCGCTGACGCATGAGCACATGCGTACTTTTCGGAATCGGCTGGAGCGGCAGTGCAACTCCGAGTCGTCTGCTCGATGCCGTGAGCTGCAACGACCCTTGAAAATTCACGTACCTGTTTTAGTGTCGCATCGCCCAGCGTTTTCTTGCCTTCCCGCCGCATCCGCCGATGCGACTTGGCCGTTTGCAGATCTAGCAGCCCAGCGTTCGAGAGCAACAACACATGCGATGCGTTTGAGGCGGCCGCGACTGCCAGGGCGGCCGCAGCAACGCGCCGCCCATCCGCTAGGATGCGTGCTCTGGGCGTTTCTGTGCCGACAAAGTCCTCTGCCCGCCAATGAACACACACAAAGCGTCGCGGGAGCTTGTGGAGCAGCGCGGCAGTGGCCGCGGCCGCGCGCTGCGTCAGGGAAGGCATGCGGCACTGCCGAAAGAGCTCGCGCGGCCCTCCGAGTGCGCTCCGAAAAGCGAACGAGAAGATGTCGGGAACGTAGATGTCGCCTGCCGGTACCTGCAGAGGTTTCCAGCTCGAGAGAGAGACGGATTTGCTTCGCAATGGTTCCAGATCGGCGGCATGGGCAAAGCGAGTCATCCGTACACCCTCAAGCAGCGGCCGCTCGGTCACCTCTCGGGCGCACTCGCCCGCGCTGCGCGCCCAGCACGTGAGGTTGTGCGCGCGCGGCAGCGCCTCACTCCATGGCATCGCGTGCCGTTGGCTGTGGTGCCGGCATGTGCTGAGGGTGCTCGAGTTCCACACAGCCGACATGTTGATCACCATGAGCGCCTCCACCGTGGTCCTTGAGAGCGGGTCGGCAGGGCACCTCCTAACGGCCTCGCCGCTCAGGCACGGGGGGATGACCGCAACCTTGCCCAGTCTCTCTGCCAACCAACGCGCAGCTGTCACCTGAAGCATGCAGTTGCTCAGCCGACCGAGCGGCGCGAAGAAGAGCAACCCGCCTGTCGTTCCCGTCCGCGCGCCCTGCTCCTCCTCCGCTTGCGCCACCCTGCAGTCGGCAGATCCAAAGACGGCGAAGCAGCCAGCGGCCTCGGGGTCCGAGCAGGCCTGTGCACCGAGGGCGGCTCTGCATTCGGAGTGCAGGCGCCTCACGCGCCCTGGGCTGGCATCCTCGTGCAGCTCGGCCTGCCACCATTCGCGCCGGCGTCCCAGCCGCAGGAGGAACATCTGCTTTGGCTGCAGGAGGAACCTGAGCCATTTACTTCCAGACCGCGACATGCTTTTACACACTTACACACATCCCGAAGTCTCGACAACTCGCAAAAGCGCTGTTTTTTCAATACATACTTGTGATTTGGCTCTCTCGCTCTCTCTCTCTCTCTCTCTCTCTCTCTCTCTCTCTCTCTCTCTCTCTCTCTCTCTCTCTCTCTCAGTGAGTGTATGTAGGTCTTAGTATAAATTTTGGCACCGCTACCTTTGGCCTGTGTGGTGGCGGCGTGCGTGCCGTCCTCCTCCCATCCCTCCCTTTCGTTGTTTTCTTCCTTTACCTTTGCCACTTCATCATGAAATTGTTGGGTCGCCGTATAAAGAAAGAAAACAGACAAACCAAACGAGGGATGGGAGGAGGACAAGGTCCCCACCTGCATGAGCAGGATCTTGGAAGGAGGATATGGGACACAGGGGAAAGGGAGCGGGGAGCGCATCGCGACACGGAGGGGGGCTGGGCAGGGTTCACCCACACGACAGGGTCCCGGGATTCCTCTCTCGTATAGGACAAAGTTGCACCCGGCGGCACGGGGGCAGGCGCGCGCGGGCCGGCCTCCTACTGGTTGCGCTCTCCTAGTTCTCCTGCTCCCTGACAAGGGACAGCGACAGGTTCGCAGCACGGTGGACTCCCTATTCCACTGGCGATCTCTCTCGACTAGCGACCTTCCTCCGGCTTCTGGGTCGCCGTAAAAAAGAAATAAAACGCACAACCCAAGGGAGGGATGGGAGGACGGCACGCCGCCACTGTCAGCGAAATTCTTTGTTTAGGCGCCGGCTCGCCTTTGAGGCAGGGCGAAAAACGTGCTCTCGCCACCGCCGGCGTCACACCCAAGGACGCCATGGCTCGCGGGCAGCAGAAGTCCGTCACGGGCATGCGCTCTGGCAAGGCCGGCGGCAGGCGTCCGTCGTTCAACCCGGCCGGCGCCGGCAAGACATTAGTGCGCCAGATGATGCTGCTTCCCATCATGTACATCGGGTCGACCATGGACTGGACTGCGACCGCCACCTTCTACGCGGAGGCGACGCTGCTCGGGGTCCTGGTGCTTGGATCGCTGGCCATACAGGTGTCCATCTTCCTCGCGCAGCGGAAGAAGGAGGTCGCAAAGGTCTTCGACGTCGGCGATGCCACGCTGATGCTGGATGCAGAGCAGATCAACGCGGACGGGTCCGTGGCGGCGCACGCGTACGACACGGCCAAGCTGAAGATGCTGCGGATGCAGCTCATCATCGCCGGGGTCGTGGTCTGGTTTGCCCACGTGCGGATGGGCTACCAGGCACTCTCGCGCAGCGCACTCACTCACACACGAGAGTGGTGGACAGCGGGGCGGGCCACTGAGCCGCCTCGGCAGCCCACCCGACCAGGTGCCGCTCCTCGCGGGCAGCTTTGGGCTGGTGGTGCAGCTCTGGGACTGCAAGGGTCTGCGCATACACCTGCTCGGCGCCGCAGAGAAGCGCCCGTGGGGCACCACGGCTGCCAACCCTGTCCTGCGGTGGGCCGAGAAGCAAAAGGCGCGCCGCCACCCCCCTCCGCCCTCCTCACCCCGCGCAGCCCGCGACTGCGACGGCGGCCACACCGCCGGGTGCGACCCTCCGCAAGGTGGACGAGTCCAAGGCGCTGGCCAAGGCTGCCAAGGGCGGTGCAGCGAGCGGCACCGGCACCGGCAAGAGCAGCAAGAAGGGCAGGTGATGGGGCAAGGAGAGGGCCGCTTCGGGGCGTGCCCAGTCGGCGCTCTACTGGGGCAGACTGGCCGACCCATCTTTGAGTCGTATCTCGAGATGGAAGAGAGAGGCCGGTTTTCGGACGAGCCCGTTCGCCCCGCCTCGCACCTTATTTTCGCTGTGATTCACGCTCGTGTTCACGTGCGTGTTGCGGTCCCACCCGCGCACCGCACTTGTGCGCGGCTCGAGAACATGCTCCAACCCCATGTATTCAGAACCCCGACACATAATCTCTTGTTTATAAAGACATTACAAACCCGCCGATGAGTCGATCAACCCGATGAGTCGATCAACCCTCACGCGGACACAGAGGTGCGGCATGCCGGACGGGAGGACGGGACAGCTCATACCGCGGCCAGGAGGCGCGCCACGAGCACTGCCTTGACGCCTTTGGCGTCCAGGCCGAGCCGCTCGCACTCGCTCCTCAGCTCCGCGACCTTCATGGCCTTGTACCGCTTCTCGGCCCCCGCCTTGTCCTCGCTCGCCTCCGCCGCCTCCGCCCCTGCTGCCTGCGCCTGCGCTTCCGCCCCTGCCGCCTGCGCCTCCGCCGCCTCGGCTGCGGCAGCGCCGCCCTCCCCCTCCTCGCCCGCCGTCCGCCTCGCGCGCTTCGCTGGCTTTGCCTCCGCCGCGTCGCTCGCCGCCGCCGCTGCCGATCGCGGCGTCTCCTTCGCCTCTACCTCCTTTGCCGCAGCCTCCGCCTCCTCCTCCTCGTCGTCCTCGTCGTCAGAGTAGCCGACCAGCGGTGCCTACAGGAGAGGTCAGAGACTTCGGAGACGGCTCGGCCAGTAGCCGGCCAGCGGTGCCGCTGGCGCCTGTGCGGCCGGAACCGCGCCGCTCGCCACGCCGTCCGGAGGCTCCCACTGCGTCAGCCCGAGCGCGACGTTCGAGTAGTAGAAACAGCCGTGCGCCCCTGACCACTGCGCCACCCAGCCGCCGCCCATGTCCACCGCCGACGCCGCGGCGACCTGCGCCTCCCATGCCTGCTCCGCCGCCGCGCGCGCCGCCTTGGCCGCGCCGCGCCCCTCGCGGAACTTTCGCGCCGTCGCGATGCCCTTGATGGTGTCGCCCGAGGGAGAGTAGTGGAACTGGGACAAGGCAGTGCTCGCCATGCCGCCGTCCGCAAACAGGACGCGCGCGTACCCGCCGCCCACCTCCTCCACCGACTCGACGTGGAAGCGCGCAAAGATGCGCTCGAGGTGGGCCGGGCCTACGGGTGGGGTGCAGCCTCGGAGAGGCGCCGCCGCCGCTGCACACCCCGCGCTCGAGGTGGGGAGGGTCGCCGTAGGCGGGTGGGTCGCCGGCGCCGAGGGGGACCAGCAGCGCGCGCGACTCGTCGGCGGGCGCGAGGACGAGCGCCTGCAGGAAGGCTCCGAGAAGGGTTCGGAAGCGAGCAGGAGAGCCCCCCCCCCCGGGGTAACCGCGCGGCGAGTTTGCGGCTGCCTGCTCGCTCACCCCCTCGCCCTCGCCGCCCCCCTCGCCGCTCGAGGCAGGCCCAGGCGGCATCACCCCGCTGCGGCCGTCTTCCGACCGCCACGTCCGCGCCTGCTCATCGATCTCGACGCCGCCGCGAGCGAGCGCCTCGCTCAGCGCGTCGGCCGCCGCCCAGTCCCTAGCAGCGGCTGCCGCCTCGCGCCGCAGCAGCGCGGTGAGGATCTGCTCCGCGCTGTAGGGAGGCGGGCGCGGCGGCGGGCGCGGCTTGTCTTGGGCGTTGTCCGCCGGGGCTGCGATGGTCGACTTGCTCAGCGACATGGTGTACCCGCCCAACTTGCGGCCGTGAGCCTCGTGCAGCGCCTTGTCGCACTCTCCGGCGAACCGGAAGAGGACAAACGCCTCGCCCGGCGGCTGGAGACGGACATCGTCGACCGTCGAGTAGTAGCGCGAGAAGTACGCCTTGACGTCGGCCTCCGTCACCTCCGGCCCCAGCCCAGACACGCGGAGGCGCGCCGCCTTCTTCTCGCCGGGCGTCTCTCGCGCCTTGCCAAAGTTTTCGCCGCCCGAGCGAAACCACTGGACGACGGCGCCCATGTGCGAGCCGGACGCGTCAATCTGACCGCCCATGTTGGGATTGCCGGCGGATCGCGGTGCCATGGTGAAGGCGGCTGCAGAGCCTCGAAAACGAGAATTCGTCGCCGTCTAGTCGAGTACCCCATCTATTGGAGTTATGGCACACTTAAGAGCTGTGAACGTGAAAAGAGTGGTACCAGCACTGTGGGTCGTTGCGGCACGCATGGGGGGCCTCCCGGACGCATGATCCTAGCCCAATACGTCCCACGGAGCACGTTTCGATTTTTGACAGAATTAAATGCACTGCCCCCGTACGGTACTAATAGTCGTAGTTTTGGCACCGCTGCCCTTCACGGCACCGCACCGCCGCTTGACAGCCCGGGGTTAGCCTAGCAGCGAGTGGGAATCGCCTGCCGGTCGGCTGGGCACGAGCCAAGCACTTGGGCGGCCGTCAACCGAGTCCGAGCGGCGCCTGAGGTGGGTGCCACGGCGTCTGCACGAAGGTGCGTGGCGGGGGGAGGAGCCAGGAGTGGTGAACACCTCCCCGTCGGGCGCGCGGCGCGCCGGATGGTCCGCCGAGGCCGCCGCCGCCCCGGCGGCGGCGATGGGGGCGGCGGGGCCGACCCGGCCGGCGTTTGTCGGCTCCACCTACAGAAGAGCAGTCTCTGTGGGGGTCGACGATACTAACTCGGCAGTAACGCGGAGCGGTGCTGTGCGGCGCCGAGTTGTGCGCGAGGCGACCTCCTGAGGCTACCTGAGCTGGCAATGGATGCCACCAGGACGCACGGCTAGCAGGAGCCAGTCAGGCATGCCCTGCTGTGGAGCAGAGCCGGCTGGCGCGCACCGGCGATACTAACTCAGCGCGCCGCGAAAGGGCGGCCGAGGTTGAAGAGAGTTGGCTGAGAAGTAAGTGCAAGTACAATAACTTAAAAGATAGCAGGAGGGCCCCCGTCCCCGCTCAAAATACGTACGATACTGGTGGTGGTCCTCACTCCCATGCTCATGCCTGCTATATACAGATCAACCACCCATCGCACCTTCCTGATTACCTGCTTCCTATCTCACCTTCCATAGGTGCTGCGCCTCTAGCGCGGGGCACGCTCCTCCAGGACACGCAACCTTGCCGTTCGAGACACCGTCAGTCGAAGCGCACGCCGGCACCTCTGGCGCGGTGATGAGGGAGAGGCATCGGTACTGGACCTCGTACTCGGTCACTGGGAGGCCGTTCCCGTCCGACGGTACCCATTCAACCGTGATAGCGTTGTCCCTTCGCTCTTGTGCGGTGATAGCCGTGCTCTCGAGCCGCTCCGGCTCGTACACGCCGGTCCACAGCTCGGTCGAGGGGGAGACGCCGGACTCGCCCACGCCGTTGGTGGCGCTCACGGAGAAGTTATAGCTGGTGATGGGCTCGAGGTCCTCCGCCTCCCAGGAAAACTCCTCCCCCTCGGTTGGGACGCCGACGGGGGTGAGAGAGCCGATCTGATCGCCGTTTGCTCCTCGGATGGTGAAGAGCGTGATGCTGTCTCCGTTGTCGAAGGGCGCATACCACTTGATCGTGATGGACTTGCCGCTCGGGCAATTCTCGGAGAGTGTCGGGTCAGACCATCCTTCCGTCACCGCGCACAACTCTGTGGGGGCCGCATTATCATTGTGGTTCACTGGAGCGCCCGGCGTCGATGGTTCAGTGGCGGTTGCGCGAAGCCCACCAGTCTGGGAGCTCTTCGGGCCGTACCCACCGCTGGTGCCCGTGGCTCCGCAAGGCTCGCCGCTGGCGCGTAGCACGCCGTTGTACGCCTCCACGGTGAAGAAGTAATCATACCCGGGTAGGAGCGACGAGACCGTGATCGACTCGGTGCTGCTCTCGAGCGTGCCTGAGCCGCCGCCCGACGGAGAGGTCCAATCAACGCGGTACTTGGAGATGGGCACGCCGTTCGACGCCGGCTGTACCCACGTGAGCGCGATCGCCTCGGAGGTGGTGCCGGCGATATCCTGTGCGACGCCGGTCACCACGTCTGGAGCTTCGGTGCAGTCGGCCCGATCGGCAGGGAGCGCCTCTGAGGCGGGCGAGAGGTCCACATCGTTGCGCGCGAGCACCTTGAACAGGTAGTCCTCCGCCGGCTCGAGCCCCGTGATGTCGAGGACGCGGCTCGGCTGGCTGCTACCACCGCCCGAGAAGGAGGCCTCGTCTGCCCACCCAGACGGGTCTTCGTCCTCGCCGCACACCGACGCCAGGCAGTACTTGACCACAAACTCGCTCACCGTCTTCCCGTTGTCGTCAGCCACCTCAAAGCCGAGCAGAGAGACGGAGCGGGTGGTCCGGCTGTCGATGCTCGGCAGCGACGGTATCTCCGGCGGAGCATCGACCGTCTCGGCCTGCACCGGGGACGAGTCGCCCGTCTTGGTGGCAGCCCCTCCCTCGGAGAACACGCCCTCCCCCACCAGCACAGCGTAGTAGACCGTGTCGGGCGTGAGGCCGGTGTAGGTGTAGCTGCAGCCGGAGCAGGTAACCTCGTCGGACGGCGTGATCTCGGCGACCGTTGCGGTGCCTTCGGAGCTTGAGCAGTCGCCAATCGACGCCACCAACGACCCGTCGCAGAGGTGGACGTAGTACTTGCTGGCGTATCGCCCCCCCACGGAGTAGGCTTCTGCCCACGAGACTGTCATCGTGGTCTTCCAGCTGTCTGTGTAGGTGGTCTCGCTGCCAGGAACGAGGACGGGCGTCACGGGCACGGGGGAAGTTGTCGCGGTGAGCTGGGTCGACGGGAACCCAATCTTCCCGTTCGCCGCCGACGACTCGGCGCGCACAGCCACGAGGTACTGTGTGTCGGGGTCGACCGCAACGTCGCTCGAGCTGTCAGCGCCAGAGGACGTGACGGTCACCCTGATCCATCCCGCGTCCGCAGTCGGGACGGCACAGCCGGGAGGCACCTTGCTGCTCTCTGGTGCCCTCAGAGCGACGCCGTCTCCATCCTGGCAGGCGTACCGGCGGCGCTGCACGGTGGTGCTGTCGGAGTCGCGCGGCGAGCACGAGCCCGTCTCGCAAACTACGAGCGAGTACGAATCGGGTGGGTAGCCGTAGTTCGAAGCGAGGGGCTGGAATTCGACGACGAAGGAGCGGGGGTACTCCTCTACCCTCGCCTGGTCCACCACGGGCGCGGGCGGGTTGAACGGCACCGCGGCGCACTCCTTGCACGACCATGCCGCCTCGAGGGTCCCGTCCTGGCTGACTGGCGTCGCGCAGAGGTTGTAGGCGGTGTTGTACTCGACGTTTGGAAAGTCGTACCGCGGGTTCCTGTTGGAGTTCTCTCGGTTCCTCGTCGAGTAGGTTAGCACGTTCGATCCGTCCGTCTCCGCGCTCCGGAACTTGTACCGCCACGCCGGGTTGTCGCCGTCGTTGATGGCGTCATCGTTTGGCCGCGACGGCGTCCACGTGAGCCGGTACGAGTAGTCTGGATCAGTGTTCGTTGGCACCGTAACCCCTGAGGTGATCGTCGTTGTGAATACTGACGGTCGGCTCTGGCAGTTGAAGGTGGCGTTGTCGATTGCTTCGGGCGTCGCCCACACGGTGACGGCGGTCTCGTAGTCGGAGTAAAAGGCCTTGGCAGTCCTCCCGCCCTCAAAGCTCGCAAACGAGTTGTAGGCGACGACCTGGCACTCATACTCCGTGCCCGGCGCGAGGCTGTTGAGGGTGAGCGACTCGGCTTGGTCCACCGCACTGGCTCCTGCAATATTGGTGTCGTCCACCACCACATCATCCTGCCTCCACACCGAGTACAGGTAGCCGCTCACGTCGGTGCACGTCACAACGTAGCCGACGATTATGAGGCCGTTGTTGTTGGGCGAGCGCCAGTTGAGCGTGAGCGAGGTTGCGGTGGTGGAGGACGAGAGGTCCGACGGCTGGTCGGGCGTCCCCGCACCCTGCGTCACCACCTCGGCGTCGCTCCAGGGGCACGCGGCTCCATCCACCGAGCACGACCCGTCGGCGTCGCTGTACGCGACCTGGTCGTTGACTGCGAGCACGCGCCACTTGTAGGTGGTTGCGGGCACGATGTAGTCTCCACGCTCGCTGTCGCGCCACGAGCCGAGCTGGATCGTCACCGAGTCACCCTCAGTCCGCGCGTCGCCCTCGTCGGTGTCGCTGACGAACTTCTCCACCGGCTCCGGCAGGATGTTCGTTCCAACGAAGCAGAGCGCCTGCTCATACCGGTTGGTATCGCTCTGGTCGTCGTTGCACTGCGACGTGGTTGACCCGTCGACGACATAGTCAAAGTCGAAGGCGTCGACATCCGCCGCTGCGCTCGGCTGCCGGCGCAGCACCAGCGAAGTGATGGATGCGCCGTTGGACAGGGGAAGGTTGAAGGAGAGTTTGAGCCGCCTGCCGTCCAAGCTGGCGTCGGCGACAGCCAGCGGCGGCACCGGCACTTGGTTAGGCTTGCTCGCCGGCATGCTCAGCTCCTGGGTCTTGAACGCCTGGCCATCGCACCTCGCGTCATCGATGCAGCTCCTGTGGTTGTTGTTGTTGGTGCCGCCGTCCGTGAGGCACGCGTTGCAGCTGTCGCTCTCGCTGACTGCAAAGAGGAAGAGCAGCGCCGTCGCGCCGCCGTCCATGTCAAATTCGAAGACATCGGTCGAGGGATCGACTGCGGTGTCCTGCCGGATGCGAAGCCACGACGACGAGTCCATCGTTTGGTCCACGGCGATGTGGTACTTGCCTGGCGGCGAATCGATCGTCCACTTGACGCGGATCCGCTGCGCAGAGTTGAGGATCGTCGGCTCAAAGCAAGGGGGGTCGTCGCATGCTGCAAGGGGCGGGGGGTCCAGGTGAGAGAGAGCTGCGGGCCAAGTGACGCCTGAGGGAGGGTGCGGTTGCACCGGCAGCGCAGCCGAGGGAGCCGAGCAGCAGCGCCGCCGCCTTCGACGCACGCATGCCGCACGCAACTGCGGCTGCAGGCGAGTGCTGCGGCGCAGAGGAGGCTCCAACAGCCTGGCTGCAAGCGACGCGGGTCGGTCGGATGCGGCCGTCCCAACTCACAGATGGATAAGAGAACGAGCAGAGACTCACCCCGCTCGTTTTCTTTGTTGTCCATCGTGTGGTAGCCGTCCGAGCCAGAAGGTGTGTCCTTCCCTGACGATTCCGTTCTTGACATGGAGCGCGTCGTAGTACTGTCCCTTGTGCTCTTTGACCCAGCCTTTGCCGGTCGCATGGACAAGCGGGCCCTGTGACTTGTGGCCGCGCTCTTTGCACCCAAGAACCTTGAGCAAGGTTTGGTCGAGGGTGCTGCCGAAACCAAATTTGTGGCCCAGTGACGCACAGCATCCGCCGTGTGCTGCCGAGCCCTGTCCAGCCTGCCTGGTCTTTGTGAGGGCGCTAGGCACCTTAACTTCGTAGTGGACATCGCGCTGGGACTGCAGGTCCCCGCCGATCTCACACATGTCGGTGACGTGCCCCTCGTTGAGATGAAAAGTCGTCTGAGGGTTCGCCTTGTCACCGAGCACGAGCTTGCCGCATGCTCGTGCACGGACCATGTTGGCCGCCGCATACATGGTGCCGTTTGTGACGAATGTTGTGCTCGCACGGAATGTCCTTCGATCCGTTTGCAAGCTGGCCGCCCTTCCGCATACCGATGGTGACTGTCTCACCAGCCGCCTCCTTGGCGTCGTACACGTACAGGAAATGTAGTAGCCGTGGCGGCGCTGCAGCGCTGTGGGCGAAAACCTCCGAGGTGATTTTGGAGGAGTGCCGGCCGTCGGGGCAGAGGTCGAGCCACGCTCCCGAGGCGAACTGAGAGACGGCGATGAAGCGTGACGCCCCCCGATGTTTGACGCCGTCTGGGTCGTCCATCTCGGCATCCAGCCGCTCGCACGCAGGCGGCGAGGCAGCGAAGCCACCGCTCGTGCGACGCAATCTGAGCGAGCGTGCCCTGCTTAGGGACTGGAGAAGTGCTCTGCTCAGAGTAGAGGTCGGAGACGGGCGGCATCTTGCTAACGAGCGGGAGGCCGGACGGACGGTAGTACCCAAGGTTGTAGTTGTTGACCATCCCAAAGTCGACGTGCTTGGCCCGGGCGCGGTAGACGCCCCAGAGCTTGATGCAGCGATCGCGGATGGCATTGTAGTATTTGTTGAAGTAGACGAGCAGCGGCGGTTGCACGAGGGGCGGTACGCCGCCGCCAGCGAGGGCGTGGCCGTGGTAGGCTGGCCTGTCACGTAGTGATGGCCCGACGGCGAGGAAGGCGGCGACGAAGCACGCGTCGGCGACGTCGGCGTGCCCTCCGATGTTTGAGCCGCCTTTCGCCACCGAGAGCTGCACCTCCTCCCAGGCGCGGTCGAGCTCCTCTGTGGGCGTGCCGTTTGCCCTGGCGAGGATCTCGAAGGAGGTGCGCAGCCGCGGGAGCACCACCGTGTTGAGGACGGGCACGATGACGTCGGGCAGGTGAGTCCGCATCCAATAGTACGGGGTGCCGTTGCGCGAGCGCAGCAGCTTGTAGAAGAGCTGCGAGACGTCCGGGTCTTTGTCGGTGCGCACAGCGCCATACACAAGGAGGGCCCGCCACGGAAGCCTAGAGATGATTTCACGAGACGGAGACGCGCCGACCAACCGTACTAAGCCGACAGAGGAAGGGGGCTCCGAAAGGCCGCGCATGCCCTCGCATGCCGGGCGAATAGGCAGGTCACAGACCTCCCCCTTCCCGATCAACGTGGTTCATGGTGGGTGTTCTGTTCATAACGCTACTTACTTGTAACCACGATCGATGCGAGGACGCAAGTCCACCAACCTCGGCCATTCCAACGGCCAGACCGCTCGCTTAAGGCTGATCGGCTACGGCTCTCGAGACGAGCGGTCTACCCCCGACGGGGCGGTCGGGATCACGGAGGATGACATCCTGCCTCCCGGCACGCCGGGAGGAGGTGGTTGCTCCGCCGCCGGACCCGCCCCTCCACCACCCTCGCTCGCCCAGGGATCTACAACGCTGTCTTAAGGTCCGACCTCCGACCTGTGGGCTGCCTGCGCTCGGCACCGGGCACCGCCTCGGTATACAAAATGCGCCTGCGGGCGGACCCTTACATCACAGCTCCCTCCGACGTATTTCCTTCTCAATAACAAGGCTCTTGCCTTCCCTGGGACCCCGTGTTGCATGTCTGACTGTCACTGTGCGATTTCGGGGCCCGGGGTTGTGCGTTTATGTGAACCGGTCTCAATGCCCCACCCCCCTGCGCGCGGGCCTTCTAGGCCCGCGGGTAGTCTCCCCCCATTCCCAGGGCTCGCACCTCAACCTCTCACAGACCAGCGCACAGCGTCTTGACGTATTTTCTTCTCAACAACAAGGCTGTGAACGCGGGAGTGGCTGGGCGCGCCAGCAGGTGAGCGTCGGCTTGCGGGGCCTCCAAGCACCATGTTCTACTCTCAGGTCCGCGCCGAGCGTCCCCCCCCCCCCCCTTTCGCCCCCTCCCCACCCCCCCCCACCCCCCCCCCCCGCTCGCGCCCCCGTCCGCCTCGCGCGCGCATTTGCCGACGCGCGCCCGCGCCGCGCCCGCAGCTTGTGCTCGCAAAGAAGGGGCCGCTGGGCAAGATCTGGCTGGCGGCGCACATGGAGAAGAAGGTGCCCAAGCTGCAGATCATGGCGACCAACATCCCCGAGTCGGTGGACAACATCGAGAACCCCGACTGCCCGATGGCGCTGCGCGTCTCCGGCCACCTGCTGCTCGGCGTCGTGCGCATCTTTTCGCGCAAGGTGACGTACCTGATGTCGGACTGCTCCGAGGCGATCGTCAAGATCAAGGACGCTTTCCGCGGCCCCGGCGCTGTCGAGCTCGCGCCGGGCGCCTCGACGCGCCGGTATGAGGACATCACCAACCCAGAGGCGTTCGACGAGATGGACCTGGACGCGACGCTGCCGTCGCAGCAGGCGTTCGCGCAGCAGGAGGAGGACGATCTCCTCGCCGGCATGGCCCTCCCCGAGGGCTACGGCGACGTCACCGACGCCGCCGACGCCGGCCTCGGCCTCGGCGGCGACGCGACGCTCGATGGCGACGGCGGGCTTGGCGGGCGCGCGGGCTTCGGCGAGGACGGGTTCGGCGCGGGGGCGGGCGAGGCGGAGGAGGCGGGGTTCGGGTACAACCACGACATCGCCGCCTTCGAGGCGCCTCTCGAGCTGCACGAGCCGAAGCGGCGCCGCCGCTCGGCTGGCGGCGAGGAGGCGGCAGACACGTCCGAGACACCCTCCACCGCCACCCTCCACCGCGATGACCCGTTTCCGCGCCATCGCCTGCAGGAGGAGGACGAGATGGAGGTGGAGCGGATGCGGTCGGCGACGGACGGCGTGTCGCCGATGGGCGGGGCACTGGTTGGGACGAGCGGCGGCGATGGCGACCTCTCGCAGCTCGCGCCGGAGCCGGAGCCTGCCCTCGACTTTGAGCCGCCTCGCTTCGACGAGGAGGAGGACCCCCTTCCAGGCCTGGGCGGGGCCGTCGTGGACGACTTTGACCTCGCGCGCCGCTCGTCGGTGCGCTCGTCGCAGGGACCGAACGCGCGCGGCTCGCTCGCGCCGGCCGACAGCGCGCGCAAGCCTGCGGCGCGGCGCAACAACAAGCGGAAGATGCTGCTCGACGACGAGCTGCAGATCCCGACCGCGCAGATGAAGGCGCGGCTCGTAGAGACGCCTCGTAGGCACCTCCACGATGCCTCCACGACCCACCCCTCGCCCCCTCCCTCCCTCCCCCGGCCACAGGCGCAGCTCGCCGACACCTCCGCCCTCCTGCTCGACCTCGACGCGCTGCCAACCGGCGGCGGCGCCATGGCCGCCGACGCGGCCGCCGCAGCGCCCGCCGCCGACCCCTTCCTCGCGCCGCCCGACCTGCCCTACGTCCCCGCCGCGCTGCTCTCGCTGCCGTGCTTTGCGCCACACCAGGTGGGTCCGCTCCCTCGACCCGCTGGCCTTAGCCTGGCTAGCCTTGACTCGACCCAGCCCCTCGCTCCACCCGCGCGCCGGGCGGCGAGCTGTGCACACACGTCTATTTCCCGCTTCTGCCGCCGTCGACCTTCCGCTCCCATTCGCTCGCCGCCACTTGAACTTGAACCCCCCCCCCCCCCCCCCGTTGCTGTTCAGCCCGCGCCGTCCAACAAGCGCCGCCGCTCCAGCGCCGGCGCGGCGGCGGCGGCGGCAGAGGAGGAGCGGCCACCGCCGGAGGAGGAGCCGCCGCCCTTCGACGAGCCCCTTCCTTTTGACGAGCCGCCGCAGCCCGACGAGACGTTCGACGAGCCACCGCCGCCGCCGTCTGCTTCCCGCCCCTTCCGGCCGTCGCCCGCGGGCCCGCCGCCGCCCTCGTTCGCCGCGAACATGGAGCTGCCCGAGGTTGCCGCCAACGACGTCGCCGCCCCCGCCGGCGGTGGCTCGCAGGAGGAGGGGCGCACCTCCGAGGAGAATTGGTCGCTGCGCACGCAAAAGATGTACGGCGTGCTCGCCGAGGCGTTTGACGAGTCGGGGGGCGTCGCGCTCTCCTACAACGCGATGATCGACGCAACCTCGACCGCCGCCAAGCGCAAGGTCGTGGCGGGCTGCCTGCAGGAGCTGCTCTTCCTCGCGACGCACGGCGTGACGGAGCTCGCGCAGAATGAGCCGTACGGCGACATTGTCATCGGCAAGGCGGACGGATTCGACGACGTGAACATCCAGATCGCCGCCGCGTGAGCCCCTGGCCCGACACACATCTGGCTCGTACCCCGCAAACCGCATCTGGCACGGCCGCTCCCTCGCCACTGCATGCAGCCACAGAGGCCGGGCTGCCGTGTCGATGCCCCTCCTCCCGCCGGGAGTCAGCGCCCCCTCACGGGAGGAGGAGCGCCGCTCCCGCGACCGGCTGCCGCGCCCCGCTCTGTCGTATACAGTACTCTGCACCGCGCGAAGGAGGCACTTTGTATCGCCGCGGGCGACGCCGAGTGGCTGAAGCCGTCCGCGCTTGCGTTGGAAGCATGTGGTGAATCTCGTCTGCATCTCGTGTCCCTTCTGTGTTCTGCCTGCTCTATACTTTCGTGCTCGCGCCTCCGCGGCCGTGGCGTGGCCTTGTGACGCCTTGTTTGCCACGGGGAGCGCGCGCCTTTACTCGCATATGTGTGTTAAATGCCGTTTTCACTTTCATTTCAGAGGCCGCACATTCAAACGAACAGCGAAAACACGATCGCGGTGTTCCTGTTCGCGCGCAGCTCGGCGCGGCGCGCAGCGGCCAGCGGCACGCCGGCAGCGCGCGTGAGGCGTGTGTACAGGCTAGAGGGTGTGGATGCTGGGTTGAACGAAATCGAGGGACGCGACCCACTTCGCCACAGACGGTCCCGCGCCTCGCCGCTATGACGGGCACACGCCCCGCACCGTCCACTGTGTGCCCGTCTTTGTCCGGAGTGAAAAGTCCAACGCGCTCGTCGGTGGCGGCTTCCCTCAACCTGCGCCGCGCTCGGCGAACCTCGACAGCGCCTTCGGTGGCATGCACCTCTTTGCGACAGAAGCCTGGAGAGCAGCTCCTCTGCTGCTCACACGCTCTGTACAGTTGACACAGCCTACTGTGCGGCTGCCACAGCTGTGACAGCGATGGGCTCGCCCTCACTGGCCCTCAGTCACTTGTGCTGCGGCTTGTGTGAGCGACACTGCTCGGCGACTGCCGGCACACTGTGAGACCATGGGTGTGAGGTAAAACCACGCTACCAGTGCTTGGTCACATCGGCCCCGAGGTCAGATCCATCTACTCTGTTGATGACAAGACTTGTCTACCGGCTGGAGCCGAGCAGGAGGGCCCGGCGCACAAACCCTTGTTCAACTCACCCTCCACACCCCGTACACACCCAGCGCGTGTGTACAGATACAGGGCGCGAGAGTACGGGGCCGAGCGTTTTTGATCTCTGGGTCTGTGGGCGCCCGCCCGCCGCCTCTGAGGGGGTCGGGCCCCCTAGACTGAAAACAAAACAAGCTCGAAAACAGCCAAAATCAGCCTGCGAGAGAGGCACTGCGCGCCGCTGACCTCATGTGGGGATGTGTGCCGACACCAATACTGATCTAAAACCTGGAAACCCTTGTTCAAAGCCGACCCTAAGCGCCATCCTTCCTGCTCTCACCTGATGCTGCTTCCCCGCGCCGCCTCCTTGGCCCCCCTGGGCGTATTTTCTACTCCCAGTGGGGGGCCTCGGCCCCCGGGCCCCCTCTTGTTTTCTGTTTTCTGTTTTTCAAAACGCCCGCCCGCCCGCCACCCCGAGGCGGCTCGGCCCCCCACAGACCCAGAGATCAAAAACGCTCGGCCCGGCTGTATATACAGTTACTTTACAGTTTACTGACTCTCACTGTCAGAGATCCGCAGGGGGGGGAGGGGAAGGCCAACTGCACCAGCGTCCTTCTCGACACCGAGAGCGTACTTTAAGCCGCACTCTCGAAGAGTGCCCGCGAGCCATGTACACACTGAAGTACACGTTTGACGTTGCCGTGACACGTACACGTACACGGCACGACGAGACACGCTCACGCTCAGGCGCCCGGCCCGCACGCCGCAGGCGCAGCGCACAGCGACTCTCAGCGAGGCGCACGCCGCACGCTGCAGCCACACACTAGGCTCACAGCGCAGGCAGGGGCGCAGGGGGAGCGAGGGGCCTCCCAGGCTACCCAGCACCCCGGGTCCCGAGCCGGAGCCAAACGAAGGGTTTCAACCCGAGACGACGAGGGCTATTGGTTGGGTAAGGTTGCCGTCGCGGGGTGGCGGCACTGCTGTTCTCCTCTCCCACCGCTCGAGAGCCCAGCGCGCCTCGTTTGGGCACGCGGGGCTGCTCTGCGCCAGCAGAGGCCCGAGCCGCATCTTCCATAGCCTCCAGAACCTGTCAAACTTGCTCGCAAATGTGCTGTCCTGCTTGCACTGAACGGCGGCTCTCGCGTATGCTGTTGGTGCGATCGCCTCCAAAGGCTTTGGCGACATCGGCGTGAAGTGCACAAAGTTTCGGTCGAAAGCAAACCGAGACGAGTTGAGCAGGAAGCCTGCGCCAAAGTGCTCCTCAGAAGCCAGCAGGTGGACGAGCAGCCCCTGGTCAATATCGGCACCAATGAAGCACCACGATGTGTTTTCGCTGCACCTTTGGACGACAGGTCGACGGTAGGCACGGACAATGTCCCGTAGCCCCTCGGAGTAGTTGCCACCCCAGCCGGAAGTCGCGCTGAAGCGGCGTCGCAAGGCGGCGAGGAGGGTGGCTTCTCTCTGAGGTGAGGGCCTGACTGCGAATCGCCCCGCATTGAGAGGCGAATATGTGTTGGCAGGGCCGGTGCGATCGTAGAGCCAGGGCTGTACCCGTGGGTCCCACGGCTGCCTGCTGATGAAGAACGCGTCTGCATCGGTCACAAGGACGCCGTCATATTGGGCCAATCCAATTACTGCCAGCTTGAGCGAGTACGGAAGGAGGTGGGGAGGGATGCGTGTCCAGATGCGGCTCAAGCCACTGCGTTTATCGGCCACGTCGAGTATTATGACGCGCCTCCCGCTTGCAGCATTGACAAACGCCCTGTTTGCAGCGGTCATGTTGACGGTGAGCAGGAGCTTGTCGCAGTGCGTTGCACCCCCAGCGAGCAGCGCCTGCTGGCTGGACACGAGCGAGGCCAATGCGGAGCAGAGCAGTCCAGGTGGCAGGTCGTTACCGGGCCGCCGTGAACTCATGGAGACCGCCGCGGCCAAGCGAAGTCCCGCCATCGCCAAACTATCCCCGATCGCGCGAAATGAGGTGGCGTGGCTCATCAAATCCTCTGTGGGCGTCGAGGCGCGGGGAGTGCGGAGAGATTTTAGGAAACTGAGCATTATGACGATATGAGGGCACGAGCCGAATTTCACACACTCTCTGCCGACATGTCCCCTTCCTACTTTAGAGTGTGTCTCGTGTCTCGCGAGGGAGGCGCGCGGTGTGTGAGAGAGAGATTTTTAGCAATACCTTAAAGAGAGGTTACAGGCGCAATACCAAACAACTCTAACACTCACACGTCATTTGGGGCCTGGAGCCCTGTTCACGCGCGTTTGTTTTGTTCGGTGTGTGTGCATGGGATAATGGAGCATTTCTTTTCTCTGGTAGGACGGGAACGGGATGATAGTAGGGAGTAGAAGAAAGCATAAAGAGAGGAGCCCTGCGCACGCACGACTCCGCAGGAGAAGCCCCTCCCGCCCGTGCTTGCGCAGCGCAGCCTCCTGACGTGTCTCGTGAGTCGTGTGAGCTTGTCGATGTCGTGTGTGAGCTGTGGCGTGTGATGAGCCCGAGGGCGAGGGTCGGGCAGGTTTCTCAGATTTTGTCGTACGCGGTACGGTTCATTCAAGAATTACCACAATACCAGAGTCGTGCTGTCACTCTGTACGTATTGGATACACACAAGACTTGGAGTAGGACAAGAGCTGATTGGCCTCCCTAGACGTCCCTAGCTTGTTTCGGCGGCATCGCCGGAGCCCAGTGCTTCCGCCGCCTCCTGCGCCGCTGCGCCCCCTTGCAGGTCGACGGGTACCTCGCTCAGCGAGAGCCCCGTGAGCTCGAGGAGCTCATCGCACGTCGCGCACAGCCGGAACTTGTCCCGAGTCACCCTCGGCAGGAATGCGATGAAGCCGTTCACCACCATCTTCATCATCCAGGGGATCGGATAAACGACCGACATGCGCAGGCGCTCGGGGAAGTGGGGCTCCATCACGCTCTGCAGCGCGCGGACGTATGCCACAGGAGGCGGGCCACCTGTGCAAATGACGATCGCCTGCGCCGGGTCGTCTGGCCTTCGCTCCGTGTCCGCGCCTTCAAAAAGCTCCCGAGCCAGGGAGACGTAGTTAGGACGACCGATCTGCAGCCAGACTGGGGCCAGGATTCGGGGTCTCAATGGGGTCATATAAATGAACGCAGTCGGGTCGGGAGCTGCGTGAGGAGCTTCCCGGGGCGTGACGTCGACTCGCAGTCGTCTACGTGTGAACGGCGGCTTCACCCGACGAAGGATTCACATGCACATGCGCATGTGCATTACGACCTGTTCGGCGGCGCTTGCCGCGCTTGTCTGTTTTGTGGCCTCTTCTCTCGTCTGTCGGTGTTTTGTCCCACCCTGAGCATTGTGCTCTTCCCGCCCTGGGGTTGTGCTGTCTTCCTCCTCCTCCGCCGTGTGCCGGGGAGTCGATCAGGCAGAGTTCACTTTGGGGGCTACGGGTATCCCCCCTGGCTATACTTTGAGATTAGGCATCAAAAGTGGTTCACAGTGGAGGCGGTCGCCGTCCTACCACTTTGTGTGTGTGGAGAAATTTACCTTACCTTACCTTACCTTTTCTGTTTTTCAA